GTCTAACGTGTTAGACTAACGTTAGACTCATGTTAGACTAACCTTCCGTGCTGGGAAGCAAGCGAGACACCGGACATTGATTATGATTTTTTTTTTCCAAAACTTAACTATGAAAATAGTATAAATCACCTATATTTGTCTCAACGATCTTTTACTCATATAGTGAAAACAAATTATTATTATTATTATTATTTAGCTTTATTAAGGAGGCTTTCAGCCTTAGGCTGGTTCGCCTCCATGAAAACAAATTCAATTTACTGAATTTAATAGTTTAAGCAGCAAATTGCTGCCAAATGTCAGAATTTTGAATTGCTGAAAGATCAGTAAAGAAATATTGCTGATTTTAAGTAAAAAGTTATCATTTTGACACAAGTTGGAATTGCTGAAAAATTCAGCAGCATAATCTTGCTGAAACGTTTGCTGATCTTTCACCAAGTCTAAAATCAGCAAAATTTTGCTGATTTACAGCGATTTTAATTTGGTGTGTAGGTAAGGATGGATTGAAATTTTGTGCACGTATAAAATTATAGGAGTGATTTGATTAAAATATTGTTATGTGAAAAATAACATAAAATTAATGTGATCGCATAAGTTTTATGTGAAATTCAGATGAATTCCATCAATTTTGATTATGGATGAAAATCATGTGCGGTTCCAATCTCGGTTCCAATAGAAGCTAAATAAAAACTATTTTCGGTGTGAAGTATCGTTCAGGGGGCACGGTGTTTCGTGAAAACCCATTTATGGGTAAAAAAATACCCATTTTCAAACCATGTATATGCCTTTTTAATGCAACACCAACGTAGAGTGCACCACGCGAGTTCGAGAAAAAACGTCAACCAAACCGTTTGTTTACATCAGAATAAGTATTTTCCCCACGCAAATAACAGCATTTTTCATTCAAAATCTTGCCAATTTCCATCGGTAATTGTCTTATTGTACGATTTTCCACAAATCTGAACTGATTTGTACCTTTGTACCCTTATATCATAGAGGTAACTCTAAGACCAGAAGGTCCCGAAGAAACGAGCTCAACTTTTTGGCTCAGCTCTGGTACTATCATCGGTCCCAAGCTAATCGATTCACCCCTCGAAACTTAGGAAAATCCACTAACCCCTCATTTTATCTGTCAAACTTTCATAGCGAATAAAAACAAACATAGTGTAGTACTAGAATTTATACCAGAATGGGGTACGTAATCGATTTGCTTGGGACCAATAGGCTAGTCAAGTAGTAAGCCATTTTAAAATCGTTAGTTTCGTATTGATTGTTGCTTATACCATAGAGGTAACTCTAAGACCACTGGGTCCCGAAGAAAATCATTATTATTTTTGGCTCACTCAGTACCAGAACAACGGTCCCAAGCAGTCCCAAGCTATTTCACTCACCCCTGCATGTTCTGCATGAATCCACACACCCCTGATGTTATCTGTCAAACTTTCATAGCGAATCAAAACAAACATAGTGTAGTAATAGAATTTCAACTAGAATAGGGTACGTTAATCGTTTGCTTGGGACCAATAGGCTACTAAAGTGGTGAGCCAATTTAAAATCGTTAGTTTCGTATTGATTGTTGACACTACTATTAGATTGAACCTGGGTATTGCGAACACAGTCGATTTTATTTTGCAAGTCAGCAGGAAACAACTTGAAAATTTTCCGATGAAACATATTGTTTTGCTAATGCACTGCTCTCAAATTGCATATGCATGCTGTCAAAAGTTCATCCTTTGCTCCATAAATAACGTGTACATGGTGTTGGGAGTGCACCTACCCACATGACTCTTACAAAGCTTGTTTACATTCTTCCTTCAGCAGTTCGTTCAAGTTCGTTTGTTCGTTGTATTGTTTACTTTCGAGTGCTATAATTTCTCTTCAGGCGATTCTATTACTTATGGAATTGTTATTATTGCATCGCAAGATCGTGCCCTGTTTCACAATTGTAGAAATATACTACTAAATTCATTAATTACTAATAAAGCGTGTAATGAATGTCTTTCAATGTGCACAACCCGAGTTCCTTTTGATTTGGAAATTGGCCGCTATACTATTTTGCTACAAAAATCAACAGACAGTCTACGTGATTATCCTTCAGAACAAATCTTTTATTACTATGCGACGTTGGACTACTGTTATACACAGCTGAGAGAGGATGGTATTGAAAATTCAGGGAAAGAGTTTTCAACATACCTACATTCTGTTCCTTTCCCAGTAATGTTACCAAACTGCCACGAATTGAAGAGCTGTCTTATAAAATCGTTGATACGACATAGATTAAACGCGGAAAAAGTATGGAAAATGCGAAAAACTAAATACGATAGTCGAAGCATGTTTATTTGAATGTGATCAATAAATATTATGTACTGTTAATACAAACGTGGAAAAAAATTTATTGAACAAAGAGCATTAAAAATAAAGACTTTTTTTTGTTGAATTAAATGACAACATTTTTAACATTGACCACAATACTTCCTCTGCCGACGGAGATTGTTTTAGAACAGTAACACTTTTAGCAGCTCTCGATCGTTGGATTCTTTTTGACAGCACCAGTTGGATTCTTTTTGACAACCATTTCGTGTTTCTCCGCATCACTCAGGATTGAACTAGCATTTTCACCAAATGTACTAGAATGTTTTGGTTCTATCTCATTCACTCTACTCAAAACTGAAATACATAAAAAAATGACAAAATGATACGCACTCTTTGCACATTGTCAAAGAATCATTGTACACAAAATCAACTTTGTTCAAATCAAAACAAAAAAACTAACCCATCTGGTGGATGATGGCACAAGCTTCCAAGAAAATTCTATTACAGTGAACCACATTATTTTAATGGATTTCTTCGCCAGTTAGTCGTCTGTAACTTTTCAAAACGGAACAAAGGCACTTGCGTGCAGAAACTCGGTGAAAAACGCAATTGGCAAATATTTCGCTTCGCTTTGAACTGTAAAGCCTAGTATACAGATCGAAGCGAAACGAAAATTGAAGCACGCGAAAAATTATGAAATTTCGCTAACGAAAAAGGTTGTGAAAAAATGTTTGTGGAACATTTTCCAATTTCCTTTTTTCGCAGTTTACAGTTCATGTGAAACGAAATCGATCAGTTTACATCTCCGGTGAAGTGAAAATCTGACAGATACGCTCTTCCGAAACGTCAACTTTTCGCTTAGCTGCTGCTCTTTTCACGAGCGTTGCATGCGCGAAAAAAAAATAAACGTAAGCGAAAAAGATGCGATCCACAACATAAGATTTCACTGGATCGTATCTGTTTACAGTTAAAAGTGAAGCGAAATATTTGCCAATTGCGTTTTTCACGCAGGTGAAAAATGTAGTATTTTGTATGAGATTTTCGCTTCGCTTCGATCTCTATACAGGCCTTAAACAGATACGATCCAGCGAAATCTAATGTTGTGGATCGCATCTTTTTCGCTTACGTTTATTTTTTTTTCGCGCATGCAGCGCTCGCGAAAAGAACAGCAGCTAAGCGAAAAGTTGACGTTTTGGGAGAGCGTATCTGTCAGATCTTCACTTCACCGGAGGTGTAAACTATCGATTTCGTTTCACATGAACTGTAAACTGCGAAAAAAGGAACCTGGAAAATGTTCCACTTTTTTCGCTAGCGAAATTTCATGATTTTTCGCGTGCTTCAATTTTTGTTTCGCTTCGATCTGTATACTAGGCTTAAATGAGGAGGGGCTTAGGGAGGGGCACTTTTAGCGGAAATGGGTGGTGTCGCAGTTTACACATTTTATGAGTAGACCCCCTTTTTTCACGAAATGTGTGAAAATTTACACATTAATGTGTTTTCGCTGGTTACCGTAAAATCATAGAGGTAACTCTAATGGCGGTAAGCTCCAACTCGGATTAACTTTTAATACCGTCCCTGTTTGTATGATCTGAAAAATGTTTGCTCAGAATTATGTTGATTAACTCTGATGTCGACATCAAACCAGCCGGACATTCTTGATCGGGATTTAATCCGAGGATAATACCGGTTGGAGCTTACCACCATAAGACTAGAAGGTCCCGAAATAACGTGCTCAACTTTTTGGCTCAGCTCTGGTACTCTCTTCGGTCCCAAGCTAATCGATTCACCCCTCGAAACATAGGAAAAACCAATAACCCCTCATTTTATCTGTCAAACTTTCATAGCTAATCAAAACAAACATTGCGTAGTACTAGAATTTCGACTAGAATGGGATACGTTAATCGTTTGCTTGGGACCAATAGGCTAGTCAAGTAGTGAGCCAATTTAAAATCGTTAGTTTCGTATTGATTGTTGTTAGTATTGTCTCCTCTTCTCTTATAGCGAATTCGTTTATTATCGGGGTTGGAACCAGTTCCAACCCAGTGCGAAACCGAACTTTTTGTCAGTGCGAACCTCAACCTGAGCTGGGTTTTAAAAACAAACGATCAAACTGACGTTTGTCAGAAAACAAGCAGACCCAATCTTGATACCCGATCCAGGTTGAAACTGAATAATAAACGAATTCGCTATTAGGTATTTGCACCCAATGAGATACAGAGAGAGGTGAAGCAGATCGTGAAATATTGTTGTTTAGTATACCAAAAAATCAACGTAAACCCTGGGGGGGGATGTGCTGTCAAATCAGCCTACTGATCATCTTGTATGAAACTGGTTCTAAACGTAAACAAACGCTGTAGGTTTCTTATGGCTTGTTTACGTTTGGAACCAGTTATGCGAGGTAGGCGACGATTGTTCGTATTTGACAGCCACCTCCCCCCCTTGCGTAAACCACGTAAACGCAAGTAGTGACGTCACTAATTGCTTGTATCGTACAGGGGTTTTACTCACACAACTTAACCGATTGCTTCACCTCGGTAATCCAGTCATTGATTTGCACCGTCGTTTCCACGAGAGAAGAAGAACACGTCACAAACAAAAAGAAGCCAGTTGTCTCCTCTTCCTCTTAGGGTCCAACAAGCAAGCAAAAGATGAAAAACGCTTCTTGTGATCGGCCGGTGAAGTCAATATTACATTAATTTGTTATTTTTTTAAACTGGTTAAATCCGCTCTGGAAAAATGGGAGTTACAATTTTGCAACCGTACCCCGTGGAAAATAAATCCGGTTCACAAACAATCGAATTCCTAGTGAAACGTGTTCTCGCGCTTGGAGCCGTCCAAACCGGTCACTTTCTGGTGGATTGTGAAACGTACACCTCCATTCCGCAGATAGGTTCCACGAAAACTGTTCACATTCTCCACAATTCCGAACAACCGGCATCGGTGTTCTCCATTCTCGACACCGGAGCCAAGCAGATTCCTCTGGTTACGGATGGCTTGTTCGACTTGCTGATGAAACATATTTCACCAGTGTACACATCGAAGAAGCAAACGAAGATCGAATCCAAAGGACCTCGGTTCGAGTTTGGTGATTTTTTGATAAAACTTGGCAGCGTAACTATGAGTCAGACCTTCAAGGGAGTCCTGGTGGAGGTTGAGTACCGACCTTGCTTGGTGGCATCCAGCTGCTGGGAGCTGATGCGAGAGTTTCTGCAGGGTTTTCTGGGCTCGAACGTATCGAATTCAATTCCGGCCTATTTCACCCAGCGAATCAACATCAACACCAATCACACAAAAGCGAACGACATCTACCAACCAATCGATACCATAAACCAGTATCTGGAACATTTTACCACCTATCGGAAGCAGACGACGACGGCAGTTGCACCGAGGACGTGAGGTATTAGCGGTGAGTTATCAGTTTAACTTTAACATTTAAATTATTTGATAATATAAACCACATGTACATTAGGATAAGCGTGGATATTATTCTCGATGACCCTCCAGGATTTTCTTTCATCCGATTGTTTATGCGCTTAGGTAATTGTTCACTTATTTTTATCTATTACAATATTCGCATTGTCAGTTCATTTATTCAAAAATACACAACTGAGTTCACCGAGATCGAATTTTTCCACATGTCGGCAGTCATCGCACATAAACAACGGCGGATCCTTCGTTCGTTCTTTTACTACCTGAAAGATTTTCGGCAAGCTTCGAGGTACGCTTCGTATATGCCAGTTGAATCCAGGAAGTAAGAATGATAATTTGTCTTATTTGCCACTGGGTAGAAATGGGTTGTAATCCTCGGAAAACTACAAATGTGTTTCGTAGCAAAAGAAACTGCGCCATTACTGGTGGTTTATCCTGCATAGTTCCATTTGATTTCATTCTGCTGGCAGTTCCCAGATGTGGACGTTCCTTCAACTACTTTACCACTGGTTTTATCACTGTGGTGGGCATTTTCTTGGTCATAGTCACAGCCTCCCACAATCATATCGGTGGATTCTTCGGAATCGTTTTCAACCTTGATATCCATCGTCACATCAAATTCTGGGCTTAAAGTATCAGCATCCGGAGCTAGGCTTGTTGGTTTTGAGATTCCAACTGCCTTACTGGTAGAAGGATTATTAGCGAACTCTTGAATAACATCGTGCGCCGGGGATTCTCCCAGAATCAGAATGTTTTTATACACATAGGACAGTACTTTGTCCTCGTGAGACAAATCATCTGCTAGAGTCGTTTGGTAAAGATTTATTTTCGATGGACCCAACATCCTCAGCGCAGTTTTCAAGGCGTTTTCTGGTACTTCTATTTGCCTATCCTGTGACTCATCTCGAATGCCTATTGTACCACCAGAATCGCATGGCATCTCTTCTGTATCATCTGTAATATTCGAGTTGTAGGCAATACCTTCATTGCTGGACGCTGGGTTTGCAGCAAATACTCTACAATATTCCTTGAAATCTATTGCGTTTGAATTGAAAGGATATAATCCACAAACAGTGAATCCGTTCGTGATTGTAGATTTTTTCAATGATTTATACATTGCTTCTTCAAGAAATGACGCAAATGTGACCAACGTCATTCGTTTCGTTTTGTGAGCAAGACGCCAAGTCTTAACAATCCTAGTCCAAGTAGTTTTAAGCGGTTTGAATGCGGCCACATTAGATTGCTGGAAGATTTGTGCAGCATTCGGATACAATGCGATCAAAATGATGCCGTATTGTTTGCACATATCAGCAGCCTCGAACGCTATTTCGGATTTGTGACCATCCACGAAATATAGGACCGGAAATTGGGTGCCTCGTTTGACAAGTGTTGGGTACAGTACTTTAATGATGTATAGCGTAAAATTCCGAACATCTAGCCACCCGTTGTCGGACGTTCCTAGCCCCCAATCGCAAGGAAAGGATTGTTTGATTTTCTGAGTCAACCGCTTCATGGGAAGGACTACGTCCGGTGGAACAAAACTTCCATTAGCAATAAAAGTAAACATCACTGTCATGTTATGGTCTCCGTTGGTAGTTTCAATAAACGACACATTTTTCTTATGTAACCAGTCCACAACTCCTTTTGAAGTAGAGTGTAACACAAATCCCGCCTCATTGGCGTTCAAAATCCGCGAAGGATCTTTCAAAATATCTGTCAACTGATTATCTTCCAGATAGCTTAGAATACTAAGGAACCAGTTTCGTATATCTTTTTCTGTAACTTTCCCATTTAGATGCTTTGTTATACTTAGATCGGGATTGCGCTTGATAAAACACTTGGACCATGATTTCCCTAAATGATGAAATAGAAGATAAAATACTGTTATTGAAGTAAGCATGTAGACTACTGAGTATACGTTTTCCACCACAAGTTCAAATAGCATATGATCACATGAGACACATTAGAGTGATTCGAGATTTGGGCGTCAATCCCCGATTTCTTGCGTGTAAAAGCTAATAACACAGACAGGTAGAAGAATTAATCTTCTATCATTTGGTATAGTTTGTGTTTACGTGTTGTAATTCCGCCCAAATCTCAAATCATAAGGTTCATGTGAAATCTAAATGAATATTTTCCATTGAAAATGTAATTTATTTTTGGAGTATTGCAAAACAAATTCAAAAACATACTAACCTGGCTTATTGTCTTTGAACGGGGTCTTTCTGGGATGAGTCTTTAAATAGTTTGAAACCTTGTATTCTATGCGGCTCTTCGTAATTGGAAATCCTTTTCGTACCATATCTTTGATCCACTTGACTATTTCCTTTTCTTCATTCGTCGAGAATATTGAATATGGTCCACGTGTACCCTTATTTTTAAACACAGAACTCAGTCGATACTGCAGGGTGGCTCGTGGAATGCCGGTAAGCTTCGCAGCAGTATACAATAACAATGTACCGTTTCTGATTTGGTTGACTGTTTCCTCCAGATAAGACTCACTATACGTTATTAGTTTTGCTTTCCGACTCTTACTTTTGGTTTTCTGTGGGACAGTTACAGTTTCGGGAACTGGTTCATTTATATCTGGCTTTGGCGCTACTGACGAGTCGAGTTCTGCTAAAAAGAAAAGTAAAATTTAAATCTGGAGAAGTCAGACACGCCCCACGCGTTGGTCTAGAAATAGTTAGTCATTCATAACGTATGTAACATGCTACTATACCTGGGCTCGGTCCGGCATCTTCTTCATACGACGACGCTGCGTCCATGTCGATAAACTCAACTTTACAATCAATTAAATCGTTATCTGGTTCCATTTTAACACTGTCTGTCAGAGAGGTATTGTCATATGCAAGTCCACCCAAAGCTCCGGAAGTGGAGACGAAAGGAATGCTTTGTGTTGCGATTCGATGTGGATCTATTTAATAGGAGATATTTTTTTCTTAATTCATAAAATTTTTTTCGGCCTATTGAACTTTGCATAACAGTATAAAACTTTAAAAAAAAACAATTTCCGCTGTTTTGATGTGAAGCGATTATTAAAAAAAATCAAATATTTAATATAAAAGTTAACCAATCTACGGGATAACGATTCGAATAAATTTGGACGACTCTTTTGAAAGAACTAAGAACATCGAGTTGAGGAGTGTTCACCGTAACTGAAGTATTCTGTTACAATGTCGTTACCCGTGATTGTTACTACAATAGATTAGCACCGACATGCACATACTAACCTGACTGAACGGGAGGTTTTAAATCCGGAAGCTCCATTTTCTGCTGTTCGGACAATGGCACATACCGTTGCTTCACAAGAAACGCAGGCTGCTGCTTGTTCAGATGCATCGGATCATGCTGGTCAATTGCATCAGTTAACATAATGTGTCGTACCTGGTCATAAATTGAAGAGTTAAAACTGTTTACAAAAAAGATACATTTCATCCAAACAGTTTTTATGAAAAAATTCAAGAGGATAGGTATTTATTTTGAACTGAGCTTGACGTTTATTGTTGTTTGTATTTTATGTAGGGATGCCAGATGATTTTTTTTGTGATCTGCGATGAAAATTTAAAATGCCTGGAAATTTTCAAAATCGGTTTTGACATGTTTTGACTAAAATTTGGAGTAACATGTCAGATGGACCTAACTCAAAAATGTAAACACTTTTTTTTTGTATATTTTGCTTGATAACATGCCCTAATAAAATTTGTATGGTTATTTGCTTAACGACGTGTTTGGGGTATCATCCAAACCATTTGTGGAAAAGTTCGACAATTTGGGTTATCGTTCGTTTATGGTATTTTCTTATTAGGGTGGGCATTTTAAGTTTCAATTAATAAACTGAAATGCATAAAATACAAAAAAAAAAAAAAAAAAACATTGCTCAATTTTTGAGTTCGACTCTTTTAGCACCGGTGGAAACTAACGATTTAAAATTGGCTCACTACTTGACTAGCCTATTGGTCCCAAGCAAATCGATTAACGTATCCCATTCTAGTCAAAATTCTAGTACTACACAATGTTTGTTTTGATTTGCTACTAAGGGCCTGTTCATAAACTACGTAGACAGTTTTTTGGGATTATTGACCCCCCCCCTCCCCCTGCGTAGACAATTGTCCATACAAATGTTTTTAAATTTGTATGGGACGTGGATAATTGTCAACCCCCCCCCCCCCCCCCCCCCTAAACTGTCTACGTATTTTATGAACAGGCCCTAAGAGGAAGAGGTGACAATTGGCCAATGAGGTACCTCGTGAGGTACAGAGAGAGGTGAAGCAGATCGTGAAATATGGTTGTATTAGTAAACCAAAAAATCAACGTAAACACAAGTAGTGACGTCACTAATTGCTTGTATCGTACAGGGGTTTTACTCACACAACTTAACCGATTGCTTCACCTCGGTAATCCAGCTCATTGACAATTGGCTTCTTACTCTTTAATTTCTATCTCTATATCTACCTTCCTCTATGTCTATCTCTATCTTACGCACATCAAATCAGCCAATGACGAGCTGGTTCACGTTTGACAGAAAAGTGGTTCATTTTTGCCCCCGTATTGTCACCACTTCTCTTAAGATTTGCTATGAAAGTTTGACAAATAAAATGAGGGGTTCGTGGATTTTCCTATATTTCGAGGGGTGCATCGATTAGCTTGCGACCGAAGAGAGTACCAGAGCTGAGGCAAAAAGTTGAGCTCGTTTCTTCGGGACCTTCTGGTCTTAGAGTTACCTCTATGGTTATATTCTTTAGTTTAATTATGTTAATTTATTATCTGATCAGGCAAGTAAACCCGAGCATAAACCAGAACATTCAATCCGTCGAAAAGGATGACGGCAACCGGTGTCCTCTCGAGAGCCACGAATAAATTCGTATTCTTACGATTCTTCCCCATCGGCTGTTCTCATCCAGCATCACAAATGCTTCCAAGTAGGACTTTGCAATATGCAGCAAGAGATCACAAAATCCGTCAAGCTTTCCTTCGTTTCTCGTTTGTGCGCTTTATGAAATAGCGGAATTAGTGCAACACGAACGGATGACGCTACGTATTTAGGTTATATAATTATATGTACAATAATCCCCATATATATTCGAAGATTTGAGGCTTACCCGCATAAACGCGAACCATAAATTGACCTTACCTAAAATGGTTAAAAATTGTTTATAATCCCTGCTAAACTTTAACTGAAATGGTTATGGAACTTTACATGAACGTTTAATGATAAAGTTTCAACCTTATGTATTATGGTTTTTTGGAACTGGACCTTACAAATAATGGGTTGTTAAGAACCATTACCGTTCCAAATTCTTGTTTTCTCCATACATTTTCGGAAAGAGAACTATATTAGAACCTTTTAACTTATGGTTTGAGAACTTTAATGGTAATGGTTATGGTAGTCAGTAAGGTCCACGAATGGTTTTGTAACATCGATCAACTTTATGTGGAATATATCGCGAATTGGTTGCCTGTAATTTACTGATTACCAATTCACGATATATTCCACGTAAAGTTGAGCGATAATACAAAACCATTAATGGACCTTACTGACTACCATAACCATTACCATTAATGTTCTCAAATCATAAGTAAAAACGTTCTTATATAGTTCTCTTTCTGAAAATGTATGGAGAAAACAAGAATTTGGAATGGTAATGGTTCTTAACAACCCATTATTTGTAAGGTCCAGTTCCAAAAAACCATAATACATAAGGTTGAAACTTTATCATTAAACGTTCATGTAAAGTTCCATAACCATTTCAGTTAAAGTTTAGCAGGGATTATAAACAATTTTTAACCATTTTAGGTAAGGTCAATTTATGGTTCGCGTTTATGCGGGTAGGCTAGGGCTTTGGGGCGATTCAAATATAATATCCACATGTTACGTTTTCACGAAAACAACTACCGATAATATCGAGGGGGCGACACATCTAAATCTCAAGTCTAGGTGCTTATCAAATCTCCCACTAGCGAATCAATCTTCGAAAAATCTTCTTTCATTTCGCGGATAATATATAGCTATAACCTGCTTGGCTCGACAATCGAACGCGTGAATCAGGTGTAAGACTTGGGTGTGATCTTGGATGCGCAGTTATCATTCAAACAACATATTGCATATGTTGTCGATAAGGCGTCAAGAACTTTAGGGTTTATTTTTAGGATAGCTAAATACTTCACCGATATCTACTGTCTAAAATCTCTCTATTGTTCGCTTGTTCAATCGACGATTGAGTATTGTTCAGTGGTTTGGAACCCAAACTACAACAACGGTGCCGAGATAATTGAATCTGTTCAACGTCACTTTCTTCGTTTTGCGTTGCGTAGATTGCCTTGGAATTATCCGTTTCGATTACCCAGTTACGAAAGTCGTTGTCAACTTATCGACCTAGAACTTCTCCGGACTAGAAGAGACACAAGCAGAGCCCTAACCGTGGCCGATATCCTGCAAGGAAGGACAGATTGCGAGGCTATCCTGAGGCAAATTGACCTGAATGTTCAACCCCGACCGCTTCGTAATTATAGAGCATACGGTGCGATTTGCGGACTGCAGACCCGCATGAATGCGAACCATAAATTGACCTTACCTAAAATGGTTAAAAATTGTTTATAATCCCTGCTAAACTTTAACTGAAATGGTTATGGAACTTTACATGAACGTTTAATGATAAAGTTTTAACCTTATGTATTATGGTTTTTTGGAACTGGACCTCACAAATAATGGGTTGTTAAGAACCATTACCATTCCAAATTCTTGTTTTCTCCATACATTTTCAGAAAGAGAACTATATAAGAACGTTTTTACTTATGATTTGAGAACATTAATGGTAATCGATATCGTAGTCAGTAAGGTCCATTAATGGTTTTGTATTATCGCTCAACTTTACGTGGAATATATCGTGAATTGGTAATCAGTAAATTACAGGCAACCAATTGGCGATATATTCCACATAAAGTTGATCGATGTTACAAAACCATTCGTGGACCTTACTTACTACCGTAACCATTACCATTAAAGTTCTCAAACCATAAGTTAAAAGGTTCTAATATAGTTCTCTTTCCGAAAATGTATGGAGAAAACAAGAATTTGGAACGGTAATGGTTCTTAACAACCCATTATTTGTAAGGTCCAGTTCCAAAAAACCATAATACATAAGGTTGAAACTTTATCATTAAACGTTCATGTAAAGTTCCATAACCATTTCAGTTAACGGTGCCGGTGGTGTAGTGGTAAGCGTGCTTACCTCTCACCCCAGCAGGCCTGGGTTCAATCCCAGTCGGCCCTGCTGGGATGTTCTGAGGCATAACATCTCTGATCACGCCTTCCTTCGGATGGGAAGTAAAGCCGTTGGTCCCCGGTTCATGAGTTGATGGGTCGATAGGTAGGGTCCAGGTGTGGGAGCTGCCTTCCTGGCACGTCGGTAGCATTGGTGCTCAGCACGGAAAACAAGATCGACGGAAAAAACAAACCAAAGGAGAACCATTTCAGTTAAAGTTTAGCAGGGATTATAAACAATTTTTAATCATTTTAGATAAGGTCAATTTATGGTTCGCGTTTATGCGGGGAAAATATTCAACAGAGTTGCATCTGTTTTCGACTCGGTTCTTAACAACCCATTAAAGTCCACTTCGAAAAAACCACAATGTACAAGGTTAAAACTTTATCACACAAACGTTCATGTAAAGTTCCATAACCATTTCTGTTAAAGTTTAGCAGGGATTATAAACAATGTTTAACCACTTGCGGTAAGGTAAATTTATGGTTCGCGTTTATGAGGGCAGACCTTGTAATTGACATCGCTTTCGAACTACCTACTATAAAACCACAAACGAAGTGACAGACGACTAACTGGCGAAGAAATCCATTTAAATAATGTGGTTCACTGTAATAGAATTTTCTTGGAAGCTTGTGCCATCATCCACCAGATGGGTTAGTTTTTTTGTTTTGATTTGAACAAAGTTGATTTTGTGTACAATGATTCTTTGACAGTGTGCAAAGAGTGCGTATCATTTTGTCATTTTTTTATGCATTTCAGTTTTGAGTAGAGTGAAAGAGATAGAACCAAAATATTTTAATACATTTCAGTGCCAACATTTCAAAGGGGCGTAATTGCATTTGTAAACAATGTCTTTAGCCGTCAATTTCTCGCGAATAAAAGCTCACTCATGAAAAATAATGACACCAATAGGTAGAGGAATGTTTCCTCTACCATCTAGCATTGTTATTTTGAAGGAGTGAGCTTTAAGGTGCGAGAAATCGACAGCTAAAGCCATTGTTTACAAAAGCAATTACGCCCCTTTGAAAAGTTGGCACTGATTTGGTGAAAATGCTAGTTCAATCCAATAGTAGTGTTGCCATGTGGTACAATCCAGTAGTAGTGGTGTTGCCATGTGGTACACTGAAAAATTGCAATAGAAGGTTAGTCACCAAAGTTTTCGAGCCGCTCCGTCTGTCACTTCGTTTGTGCTATTGGTCCCAAGCAAACGATTAACGTACCCTATTCTAGTCGAAATTCTAGTACTACGCAATGTTTGTTTTGATTCGCTATGAAAGTTTGACAGATAAAATGAGGGGGTATTGGTTTTTCCTATGTTTCGAGGGGTGATTCGACAAGCTTGGGACCGAAGATAGTACCAGAGGTGAGCCAAAAAGTTGAGCACGTTTCTTCGGGACCTACTTGTCTTATGGCGGTAAGCTCCAACTCGGATTAACTTTTAATACCGTCCCTGTTTGTATGATCTGAAAAATGTTTGCTCAGAATTATGTTGATTAACTCTGATGTCGACATCAAACCAGCCGGACATTCTTGATCGGGATTTAATCCGAGGATAATACCGGTTGGAGCTTACCACCATTAGAGTTACCTCTATGCATACCATGGTTATAACATGTTATAGCGCTATCTTGATGGTGTTTTCTGTGTTGCAATTATTTTACAACCGTTATAACATGTTATAACTCTCCAGTCTGGACAGCGTTTAAGGCATTTTACGAGACGTTTTCGAGTCAGCTGTTTTTTTTCTGTTTACCTATTTAGACGTCACGTAAAATAGCTTATACTGAAGTCCTAAAAAATCAAATACACGGTAAGCGCAAAATACCCAATAATGACTACAAAGTAAGCATTTTCGAGGGAAACTGGGACTACCCATTAAATTAGTAAAACTTTACCCATTTATGAGTAATTACAACTACAAAAACAAGTAGTAAGTATTCATTTTTTAGTAACAAATACTCATAAATGGGTAATATTTTTACTCATTCAATGGGTAGTCCCAGTCTCCCTCGAAAATGCTTACTTTGTAGTCATTATTGGGTATTTTGCGGTTACCGTGTAACGAAATGAAGATTTTTTTCTAAGGCCGACAACATAGTAGAAGCGATTCGATGCGATAGCAATTGGCAAAGCGAAATGCAGCGGCAAGCGAAGCAACCTATGACATAGTGAAAGCGTTTTTGAAAACATTACAGTCGCGCGCGCAGGGCAAAATATTTGTTCAAATTTGTTATTCCTCACTAGAATCAGTCCACTTGCGTTCGAAGGCGTCAAAACACAACACGAACAGCTCTGTCGCTTTGCTGAACGCTTTACACCTCTTCGCATCGCTTTCACTATGGCTGGTTTGGGCGATTCCCATAGAACGCTCATAGAGGGTGCTTTCACGCAAGCGCTCCGCTTATTGCCAACGAATCGAATCGCTTCGAATCGCTTCTACTATGTTGTCGGCCTAAGGCTCTGAACCATTTGGTGGATTTTTTTAACTTTTGGTTAAAATTTGACAGATGGAAAGTTATTGATTAACCCTGCTATCCGAGCATGGTTATTTCTGACAGACAAGAAGTTAAATTTTGACAACCGTGGGTCGAAAACCGGTCGATCGATAGCACGGGGATTTTCGAACATAGAAAATAACTTTCGAAATGTCACTTTTAACCACGAGTTAAATTTAACTCGGCAAATGGTTCACAGCCTAAGGCTCTGAACCATTTGGTGGATTTTTTTAACTTTTGGTTAAAATTTGACAGATGGAAAGTTATTGATTAACCCTGCTATCCGAGCATGGTTATTTCTGACAGACAAGAAGTTAAATTTTGACAACCGTGGGTCGAAAACCGGTCGATCGATAGCACGGGGATTTTCGAACATAGAAAATAACTTTCGAAATGTCACTTTTAACCACGAGTTAAATTTAACTCGGCAAATGGTTCACAGCCTAAGTACACCTGGCATCCCTGACTTTCTGTGTCTCCCTCCCAGCCCTGAATATCAACAATAATAAACCATAAAGATAAACATCAATGCTCGCTAGGTTCAAAATATTCCCATCTGTCGTGTAAACATTATTGTTTGTTTGGATCTAAGAGGGTTTGGATGCTCTTAAAAAGTAATAATTTTTTAAATGTATCTTTTTTGTAAACATTTTTAACTCTTCAATAATTCAAAATAGGTACGACCATTATGTTAACAGATGCTATTAACCAGCATGATTCGGAGCAATGGGACAAGCAGCAGCCTGTGTCTTTAACGGAGCAACGATATGTGCCACTGCCTGAGAAACAGAAGATGCAGCTACCGGAGGAGATGTCACTAGAACCTCCCATTCATTCAGGTTAGTATGTGCATATCGGTGCAAATCTATAATCAGTAATAATCACGGGTAAATAAGTAAGGACATTATAACAGAATACTAATTGAACAAATTTTGATTCAGCTACGGTGAACTCTCGAGTTAGTTCTTAGTTCTTCCAAAAGAGGCAGTACAAAATGTATTGGAATCAATGTCCCGTAGATTTTATTAGCTTCCATATTAAATATTTGTATTTTTTTTTAATTGCTTAACATCAAGAGATGAACCAGACGACGGCTGAAAGTCTCTTGAATAAAGAAATATAAGACACATCAAAACAGCGGAAATAGATTTTTATTATTACGATATTGTCCCTATTTAGGACCCCTTTAATATTAACGATCCTTCATGCATATTAACGGAGTTAAATAAGATTTTTTTAATTTGCGGGTTAGCGGGTTCATACTAAAAAATACAGATTACCGGGAGTCCACGGTAGTTTTATACTTTTATCGAATATATAATATTATTTAATATAGAATATTTGCACTCATGTAATGCCATATACCATTAGAAAACAATTTTATCTCTAATTAAATAGATCCCCATCGAATCACATCACAAAGCATTTCTTCCGTCTCCAATTCCGGCGGACCTGCAAGAGGTATTATACAGAACGACACTACATCTCTGACAGTTGATGTTAAAATGGAACCTGACAACGATTTAATTAATTATGAAGTTGAGCTCCTCAACATGGACACAGTGTCGTATAAAGAAGATACCGGACCGAGCCCAGGTATAGTAGCATGGTACATACGTTATGAATAACTAATTCTAGACCAACGCATCCACGAAAGAAAACTCCCCAATCAAATAGAGCAAGTTTCCTCTATCATGATGGCCTGAATGACCGATATTTATACATAGTTGGAGATGCTTAACGTCAAATATCAGACCTAAAGTGGTCATTTCATACGATAGATGAGGAGATGAAATTATAGAGTTGATATCTCCGTTACAGTACGGCAGTGTGAACATAGTATATAGAGAGAAGAAAGCGAGCAAAGATCAATTTTGAAAAAGGTACGATTGGGTTGATCAGGTTGATTCTATTATCTATATACAATTTTCACATTTCCGTACTCTAACGGTACTATCAACTCTATGCTTTCATCTCCTCATCTATCGTATAAAATGACGTATTTATCTTTACTTTTTAACAGAACTCGAGTCGTCAGTAGCGCCAAAGCCAGATATAATTGATCCAGGTCCCGAAACTGATCCACAGAAAACCAAACGTAAAAGACAGAAGCCAAAAGCATCAACATATAGTGAGTCTTATCTGGAGGAAACAGTTAACCACATCAGAAACGGTACATTGCTAGTGACTGCTGCTTCGAAGCTTACCGGCATTCCGCGAGCCACCCTGCAGTATCGGCTGAGTCCTGGGTTTAAAAATAAGGGTACACCTGGACCACATAAAATATTCTCGACGTATGAAGAAAATGAAATAGCCAAGTGGATCAAAGATATGGTACAAAAAGGATTTCCCATTACGAAGAGTCGCATAGAATACAAGGTTTCAAACTATTTAAAGGCTCATCCCAGAAAGACCCCGTTCAAAGACAATAAGCCAGGTTAGTATGTTTTTGGATTTGTTTTGCAACATCTTTGGTATTATGCCCGCGTATCCCGCTATATTTCGCAGTAAATATTTTCCATTAGAGAGGTAATGCAGAGGATAATTTAATAAGATACAAAAGGTAGTGGACTGGCCCACATTTATATGGGGGAAATTTTTTACCTTTTTTTCAAACGGGCCAACCCCTAGATTTGTGCCATTAGGTGAGAAAACCCACTCTCTGAAAATTTCAGCTCATTCGGATGTAACACGAGCTGCCGCTTTTGATTTAAAATGTATATGGGGATATTGGTTGAAATGTATGGAGAAATAACATTACTTCACTCTTTCGTGCATAGAACTGGTTCAGCAAACTCGATTAACCTCAGAATTTCAGCACACGGAGCTTAAACTATAAGGAACAACTTTGCTGAAGACAGCATCACGATTCATGTTAGTGAATTGGAGATATTATTTAATTAAGTGTATTCTGCTCGTATAGTGCAACAAAATACAGGCAACTTATGCAACGTATCAACTAGATTACTCCTAAAAATAAAAGTTCATATTTTCCACAGGCCAACGTCCAGGCTCGTGTCTTTTGGTGCGATAACCACTATCTGAATGATTTAGCCCATTTTGACGTTACACGGGCTGGCGTTTTATGTTTAATGTGCATATAGCAGATTTCTTTGAAATGTTCATATACAAAATGCTCATATACATTCAAAAGCGAATATCTCAATAAAACTAACTGGATTCATGATGCAATATTGAACAAAGTTGTTACTCATTAATTGAACTACTAGTTTTGAAAATCTGAATCAAATCGAGAATACTTTTTTATGATTGATAGAGTGTAGGTGTGTCATTTTTTCATTTATCCAAATTCCCCATACAAAATTCAAACTAAAAGCGCCAGCTCATCTTAGAACCAAATGAGCTGAAACTTTCAGATAATGGTTTTCTCACCTTAAGCCACTCATCTAGGGGTTGGCCCGTGGAAAATTAGCACTTTTATTTTTGTGGGTCAGTCTAATAATAATAGTGGACAGTCGGCCACAAGAAGACACTTTCTTCAATGTTTAAAAAAATACTCAGAGTTCTTATCAGAACTTCCCTTGATTTTTCTCCTTCTTTAACTTTTTCCCACCCATGGCTACTCTGGCGCGCCATGCCCTTTTGGCATTGTGTGCTATACATTTCTGAAATTATAACCTATTTTTGTAAAAGTATTGCAGCACAGTCTGTACTAGTTCTTCTATTATCGGAAAGAAAATCTAGGCCAATATCTCAAGACATTCCAGAGATACTAGTTAAAAAAAAAATATGCCAAAACTCTGGGCAAAAAGTATTTTCGGGTTGTAGGGGTAAGAGGGGCATAGTGAACAGGTGGGGCATAGTGAGCATCCCGTAGCATGATCTTCCGGCCGTTCGGAAAAAAATTGGTTGGTGGTAGGATCAATATCATAATGATATTGAACCTACTACCAGTTGATTTGTTTCATGCAGCCCCACCTGTTCACTATTCCCCTCCTCCCCCTATGTGTACTACAAATTAAGTCATGAGTATAACACATGGACCCTCCCCATGACTAGTTTTTGCACCTTGTTGCTGGTGGGCATGCTTTATAGGGGGTGTTGAAGACGGTAGGTTTATGGCCGGCGTTGCTGGCTCATGCCGCGATAGAATGGCGCCATGGGCAGGCGATGGAAATTACTAAGCTTCCCATCTCTGATGCAGGCTTGATGGAGCCTCGCTCGCGAATTTAAAATGAGCCAAGCGTAGCATTTTTCTGAGGAGTCGAATGCCTACTGCCAAATCATTCCACTGAGCTTCAGAGCTTGTGAGCGAAGGGGGATAAAATGAGAGTGATGTTTGCTGCCATTCATGTTCATGTTTTCTATCACACACTCTAACTCTCACTCTGGGTAAACTCTGAGCTTCTTGCGTCGAACAAAAAAGTCATCTGGAGTCTCGAAAAGTGCACCTCACGTCAAATCATCCTCTCGCTGAAGTTCACTCTCCCTCTCTCTCGAGTTTTTGTATACTTCTTCCATATTCCTGCCGCCACTCACTCGAGGTGAGGGCTGGCTAAACTCGCAGGACAAGAATGTTTTAAAACCTCCGGTGAGTTTGAGGAGTTTCACCAAGCCTTCTCTGATGAACCACTGCATGCGAGAACCAAAGATCTAGTTCAGCAGTGATAGTATCACATTTGTTACTCCTTTGTTTGAGAGCCGCGTTGTAATACGCTTACGTATAGGCACTGACGTTGGGTGCGATACTGCCGGGTTTTTATATACTGGCGGGATAGATTTCTTTGGGTTTGCAAGGGAACTATACTATTGAAATATTTCAGAAAGTGCCCAACAGTGCTCCTTCTATTTGCGTGACAAGCATTCATTGTTGTTTTCATTGAAGTATTACTTAGGAAACAATGTTAAACACCATTTTTGTACATGGTATTGCAACTAATCTTATATATGCTTAATTTTGATTTGGAATAAGTGTTTGAACTATGTTTCGGGATTTCCACTGTGGCGTACTATCTATTATGATACATGATATACATATATTTTGAAAATCAGCTAGGAAACTAACTTCAAAGTGAAGCATTTTAGTCACTTGAAGGTGTCACCTGGGACGAACTAAGATATAATAAATATAGATCAAAGTCAAAAGTACTTACTTACCTTACCAATCAAGCTAAGGCCTTGTTGTCCTCTGCTGTCCGAAGAAGTCGTCTCCACTCTACTCGATCCATGGCCACATTTCGCCAGCCTCGTAGTCTGTGAAGGGTCCGCAGGTCACCTTCTACTTGGTCGATCCACCTTGCCCACTGCGCGCCTCTTCTTCTTGTTCCTGTTGGCTCGCTTTCTAGAACCATTTTCACTGGGTCGCCGTGCGGCATTCTTACGACGTGCCCAGCCCACCGTAGTCGCCCAATTTTTGCAATGTGGACGATGGATGGTTCTCCCAGCAGCCTCCTCCACGTTCCGTCATCCATCTGCACTCCACCGTAGATGGTACGCAACACCTTCCGTAGAGGACCACCGGTCTAATCAGCGTCTTGTAGACAGTCAACTTCGTGCGGCGGCGAATTGTATTCGACCGGAGCGTCCTCCGGAGTTCAAAGTAGGCACGATTCTCTGCCATAATGCGTCTTTGAATTTCTCTGTTGGTATCATTTTCGGCGGTCACCAGTGTGCCCAAATACACGAACTCATCGACCACCTCGATTTCGTTACCGTCAATCTGAACTCGGGGTGGGAGGCTAACATTGTCTTTCCTAGAACCTCTTCCTTTCGTGTATTTTGTCTTTGATGCGTTGATGGCAAGTCCAATTCGTCTAGCTTCAGCCTTCAGTCTGATATACGTTTCCGCCATCGTCTCAAAGTTCCGTGCATGTGATGTCAATGTCATCGGCGAAGCCAAGAAGCTGAATGGACTTCCTGAAGATCGTGCCACTCGTGTCTATCTTCTGATCACACCTTCTAACGCGATGTTGAATAGCAGACACGAAAGTCCATCACCTTGCCGTAACCCCCTTCGAGATTCAAAGGGACTCGAGAGTGTCCCCGATACTCGAACAACGCACATCACTCGATCCATCGTCGCCTTGACCAATCGCGTCAGTTTATCCGGAAATCCGTACTCGTGCATAATCTGCCATAGCTGATCTCGATCGATTGTGTCGTATGCGGATTTGAAATCGATGAATAAATGACGTGTGGGCACGTTGTATTCGCGGCATTTCTGCAGAACCTGCAGTACTTGTAACACGTTTAATTTTAGAAGTGCAGGTACTTAATAAAGCATGGGTTATGATTGATTAGATAGATTAGAGATTTAAATTATTTATTAAATTAGGCTAATCATATCATAATCATTAAATGAACTTAAATAAGAAAATTCAGAAAGTCTAATAATATTAAGTAGATTAACAAAAAAAATAGGATGCGGGAGGTCCTCTTAGGGAGGCAACTAAGCTTTAAAGTTGTAGAATAAATCTTATATGAAGAAGAAAGGGGTTCTGATTGGGATAGTGATGATAGCTCGCTAATACCTTCGGTCTTCCTGGGATTCAGCGATGAGGAGGATCCGTTTGCAGGAGCCGACAGCAGTTGAACTTCAATAAGAAAACGCAAGCAGACCAATAGCATTAAGCAGATTAACAAGGAGAGGCACAGTTTAGGAAATAAGTATTAGAGGTGACAACTAATAACTTTTGTATATATTGTTTTCCTCCTGAGTTTATTGTACTCGATTACTATATTATTCTCTCAATACGCGAAATCTCTGATATATGCGGTTAAAGCATTTGAGTTAACTTATTTCTTTTTGTTCTAGTACTTACATCTGTAAACAGTAGTAAATGTTAATCTATGAACTAAACGCTGCGTGACTGTAAAATCGATCTTTCCTTATGTGGTATTGATGCATCGATGTATGTTTATCTTTTAGCGGTTGTCGGATTGAACGCGCCTACGTCTACGAAGCTCACGCAGAAGTGATTCGCAATTCGGTAGAGCTTGCCAAATGAATTTTGAGCTTATGTAGTTTAGAATTTGTTCGGTGCGGTCGCGAAATTTTGAAATGATTGATACGTGTGGTAAAATAATTAATTTAAAACAAAGCTCAATAGTAAAATAACTAGAATATATAGAGAGGAGACAAAAATTAATCAGCTTGCTAACATAGGTGCCACTCTTTAAGTGATAATAAGCCTTTTTTCTCGCTTCGGTTGTTTCGCACGGCGTTCGGAATTCGCGCGGTTTTCGTAACTTACATAATGTAGATATTTCGTTCGAAACAGATTTACCTACTTATTCAATCGGTTTACTACGCGGTTTTATCTACGCGCACACGTCACAGCATTTTTTCCATAACTATCTTGAAACAATACACACGGAATCCAGTGTTCAAGATGCCAAAATAGGCTAGTCCGTCTGCTGTATTGTCAAAGATAGAAGCAACAATTATTCAAATGGGTCAAGTCTTGAAAACTAAGCTGTCACGCAGCTCCAGCTTGATACCCAATAAAAAAAATATGAGTATTACACATGGAGTTTGGAGAAATTCGTTAGTTCAAGGATTTGAAAGTTTGATATCGGAATACATTTTTTAGAAAAGATTTTTCCTTCTTTCAAACATGAGCAGTTCTATCGAGAACTTTGAAATATTTCTGAATTTTATAGTATTTTAATAGTTCAGGCATAACATTTGATAACGGCACAAAAGAATTTGTAAACAAACTTTCTAAGGCCCTTTACACGCGATTCAAAGTACGCCCACGCAAAACAATACCACTTTCGGAAAGGTGATAGTTGCCCCTATCCGATGATGTTGATGGTTTCCGTGGGCGTACTTTGGTTTGCGGGTAAAGGACCTTAGAAAGTTTGTTTACAAATGCTTTTGTGCCGTTATCAAATGTTATGCCTGAGTTGATGATTTTGTGGAAGGCTTAATGAGTCCCAGTAATAAGTTGTGCATAAATATTCAATCGATTCTTTGTTCTACTGCATTTTATTCAAGAATTTTGAAAATTTATAAAGTAGCCCGTCCAGTCAAAAGAAGTCCGCCACGACGCGGTACTTCTGGTACTTCTATGGTCAGTGATAAAAACCAAAAAAAAAAAAAAATCCGAAAAAATATTTACTATTTACGAAAATGTCTACATGGTTACTTCTATAACTTTATTTCATTTCATCATTTAGGGAAATCATGGTCCAATTGTTTCATCAAGCGCAACCCCGATCTAAGTATAGCGAAGCATCTAAGCGTGAAAGTAACAGAGCAAGATATACGAAACTGGTTCGGCAGTGTTCTAAGCTATCTGAAAGATAATCAGCTGGCAGATATTTTGAAAGACCCTACGCGGATTTTAAACGCCTGCGAAGCGGGATTTGCCTTACACCCTACCTCAAAAGGAGTAGTGGACAAGTTTCACAAGAAAAATGTGTCGTTCATTGAAACTACCAACGGAGACCATAACATGACAGTGATGTTTACTTTTGTTGCTAATGGAAGTTTTGTTCCGCCGGGCGTAGTCCTTCCCATGAAGCGGTTGACTCAGGATACCCAACAATCATTTCCTAGTGATTGGGGGCTGGCAACGTCCGACAACGGGTGGATAGATGTGCGGAACTTTACGCTATACATAATAAAAGTACTGTACCCAACACTTGTCAAACGAGGCACCCAATTTCCGGTCCTATATTTCGTGGATGGTCACAAATCCGAAGTAGCATTCGAGGCCGCTGATATGTGCAAACAATACGGCATCATTTTGATCGCAATGTATCCGAATGCTGCACAAATCTTCCAGCAATCTAATGTGGCCGCATTCAAACCGCTTCAAACAACTTGGGTTAGGATTGCTAGCATTTGGCGAATTGATCACAAAGAGGAACGAATGACGTTGGCCACATTTGCGTCACTACTTGAAGAAGCAATGGATAAATCATTGAAAATATCAACAATCACGAACGGATTCACTATTTGTGGATTATATCCTTTCAATTCAAACGCAATAGATTTCAAGGAATATTACAGAGTATTTGGTGGAAACCCAGCGTCTAGTATTGAAGGTATTGCCTACACCTCAAATATTACAGATGATACAAAAGAGATGCCATGCGATTCTGTTGGTACAATGGGCATTCGAGATGAGTCAAATGATAGGCAAATAGAAGTACCAGAAAACGTCTTGAAAACTGCGCTGAAGATGTTGGGTCCATCGAAAATAAATCTTTACCAAACAACTCAAGCAGATGATTTGTCTCACGAGGACAAAGTACTGTCCTATGTCTATAAAAACATTCTGATTTTGGGAGAATACCCGACAAGCCTAGCTCCGCATGACGATACTATAAGCCTAGAATTTGATGTGACGATGGATATCAAGGCTGAAAATGATTCCGAAGAATCCGCCGATATTATTGTGAGAAACTGTGATAAAACAACTGGCAAAGTAGCTGAGGGAACATCCACATCTGGGAATTGCCAGCAGAATGAAATCAACTCGAACTATGCAGGTGAAACCAGTAATGGCGCAGTTTGTTTCGCTAAGGAACACATTTGCAGTTTTCCAAGGATAAATATCCATTTCTGCCCGGTGGCAAACAAGACAAAGTATCATTCTTGCTTCCTGGATTTAACTGGCATGTACATAGCGTATCTCGACGCTTGCCGAAAATCTTCCCAAGAACCAGTATCTAGTAAGGTCTACAATGAAATATTGCTTAAAGAACGAACCAAGGATCCGCCGTTGCCATCCAGGTGCGATGACTGCCAACATGTGGAAAAAATCGATCTCGGCGAACTCAGTTGTGCATTTTTGAACAAATGAATGGACAGAGCGGATATTGTAACGGATAAATATAAGTGAACAACTACTTGAGTATATATATAATTGATTAAAAGAAAATCCTGGAGGGTCATCAACGCTTTATCCTAATGTGCGGTATACGCAGGGGGCGCATACAATGGTGAAGGCCTTGGTACGGTCTATTGTGCGTGCGAGTGTGATATTTTTTTAATAACAATAGAAGCCGCAATCAATATTATTCTTAAAGCGTGTTGATTTGCCTTAAATGACCTTGAGTATGCGTGGAGTGCGATCTTTTGTGCGTACGAGTAGAACAAAGGGATAAGCTAGAAGAGCATGATCAGTGATTGCGGTGGTTCAAGTAAAATTAAATAATGCATTTCTGAGAACATGACGCTGCAAAATCACTAGGCCATTCGGGTGAGATATTTTCATTTTATCTATTTATATTTCATTTTTTACTGATTTATCAAATGCTCTATATTGACGAATAGAGTTTCCTAATCAATCACCCTCCTTCACTCTAAAAAATCTTCACGTTCGGTTTACGTGAAATATCACGTACCTGATCTGTATATATAGAAAATCTCAAATGTTACGTGACGTTAGTAACTTTGACCTGCATTACACGTCATGTTCACTAAAAATGTTGGTGAAATTGACCGTATATTCACGTAAACAGATTTAGTGTATTTGTGTTTGTGTGTTTGGGATTTCGATATTTACGTGAAACGAGATTTACGTGATTTTCAGGTTCGCAAAAAAAATCAATATGGCGTCACCGAGCGTGGTGGAAGAACTCCTCAAAAATTCAAAACTCCTCAGCGCTTGCTGCAAATGTTGGACGGTAATTAGATTCTTTTACATTAATTTATTTATGATTATATGTAGCTTTTTCTAGTTTTATAATTTCAGACGGTGACATCAGCATTTTGAGTCTGCAAACAGGTGTTAATATTTTGTCAAAAATTAAAAAAAACTCATACAAGTTTCTACCTTAATCAATTAGTCAATATTTTTCAATTTTATGAGTAGATATAAGTATTAATATAAACACGTGAAATTTAAATCTTCCCGATAAAATTGCATAATATTGGCTGCTTCTATATATACTTCCCATTATTCTCATTAAAAAATCACGAACAAACTACATGAAAAGCATTTTAAACAAAACGGAATGTCACGTAAAAGTCACCATATGTCCAGTAGTTTTCACCCCGATTTCACGTACCATTTAACCCCAAGCTCTTCCATAGCACAATAAATCGCCACCATCATTTATATTTGATATTGACCATTAACCTCGGAAACTATTTGCATATCAAGCGAAAACGTAGTCCTGTATTGTCGTGAAGCGTTATGGTTCTCAGATGCTCGATGACCCTGGAGATATCGTTTTTGCTTACTGAGCAGAAAATCATGGGTTTAATCCCAAGTTCTCCGTCATGACTCTTAAAATTCATGATCACTAAACAAAATTAATATGTTTTTTCGATAGCCGGCTATCGAGAGATTAGGGGACATTCTTTTGGTTGCATCGCCAACTTGAGGTGAATCTTAACCGAATACCCTACCCAACCCTCCAACTCCGTAGCACTTATTAGGGTGTCGCTAAGTAGGTGGCTTCTCGTTAAGTAAGTACTACTTCAACATTTCCTTCCCTATCCCTAGGTATGGTAAAGATGGGTGTGGCCGGGAATAGCGACAGTCATGCTTCTGTTACTCTTGTTTAGATTGGAACCAATGTTTACTCCCCAGCATTATTCCTGAAAGTAGTCTAACTGAGAATTTCAGAAGAGACGTGAGTGTCGCTAGTATCCAATCTACGAAGTATATCATAACAACGCTAACGCTATCTATGAAGGTAGTATGGGTTCCCTGAACCTTCTTAAGTAGATGTTGGATTAACTTTCCCTCCCTTCCCCTGCGATTGTATAAGGATGTGGTCAGGTGTATAATGCGATGCTTGTTTTGTAGATTTTATTTTTGTGTTGGGAAAATCACTAATCCCAAATGTTTTTTTTTCTACGTCAACACACGATACTTTCTGCAAAACGTATTAGTTGACTATTAAATGGCACCCACGATTTGTACAAACGCATATGCTATCCTATGTCATATAAAAAAAAACTGTAATCTGTATCAAAATATTGAAAAAAAATCTGTATGATTACAGATATATCTGTATATGTGGCATCACTGCCACTATCTACTTCTCTCCCTTCTTCTTCTTCTTCTTCTTCTTTCCTTTATTTAACGTCGGTCTGTGTTCCGCAATCTAGTGCCAATCACCGACGGACATCGATTGCCATCCATTGACGGCAATCGAATGTGCAGGAAGGCAGCTTCCACACCTGCGTAGAATATCGTACCCATTCAACACACATGGGCCGGGACCAACGGCTTTACTTCCCTTCCGAAGGAAGACGTGACCAGAGATTTTTATGCCTCAGAAAAATCCCACCGACCTCGGCCGGGATTGAACCCAGACCCTACACAACCGGCGCCGGCTTGCCCAAAATTTCAATCCATCCCATCTATTCTTTCTATAGAGATCTCCAAGCGCAATCTCACGAACACTAAAATCCAACATCCATACGTAAAAACGAAGAAGAAGAAGAAACAAAAAGGTATCGCGATATCACAACTACTTAAAAAGGTAGCGCGCGGTCTCACGCACACTTTTGTGCATCTGGAGAACTCTATTCCCAACTTATCCCTTCTGCATGCACACAAATTATCAAGCAAGACGTGCAGTTTTTAAGGTCGACCGCAAAGCACTTTGCCATCATCGTTGTCAGTTTTCAACGATCTCATTAAAATAAACGATGGACCACTCGTTCATAATTGGTTATGGGGACAAAAACATCAAGCGCATCATGGAGAAGACGACAACGCACATTCACTTTCCGTACTCAAAACGATCGAATCCGACGGAGAAGAGCAACCAGGTGTCGGTGTATAGTAGCATGGAAAGTGCCGAACTGCTGATCCTAGCCCCGGGAACAGCCTCATCGGACAATGCAACCTACGTCGAACAGGTGGAAAAGGAATTCATTTTTTTCTCTCGGCCCAAGTTGTACTCGTGGCTGGAGCTGGGCATGAGTTTGGAGAAGGAAGCCACCACTGGCTGATGGAATTTCTGTGTGGGAATCAAATTCCCTTCCAAATACAGCAGGGAATAGTAACTGGAACCTAGTGATCCATCGCCACCATGCCATGCTTAGCACGGAAAACAAGATTTATGGAAAACAAACCAAAGGAGAAAAAAACATGCTTTTCAATTGTTATGTCTGTGTTGGGAAAATATCAAAAAATCAAATCTCACCAATGCCCAAGATCACGCTTGATTTTCGTAGACTAAAATCAACAAGACTAAAATCAATAACAAACTGCGGTTGATTTTGCAAGCTGTGATATTGCAGCTCGGAATATCAAGCTGACAAAATTCACCAGCTGCAATCTCAACAAACTGTGGTGTGGTGAGATTGAGTTTCATGATTTTTGCTTTACACCCGAGAACGCAACCGAAACTTTCATAACGACTGGCAAGTGAGAGCAGTCACTTCGTGTTTGCCATCGGTGAAGAGTAAAAAAAGATAATAAACTATACTTTTTCTTTCTACGAAAACGAGGTACAACTGAATCATTTTTGTGTCGAGTCAACTATCAGCTTGATTTTTGCACATTGTGAATAGTCTCAAATCAATATCAAGCATGATACTATATGTTCCAATATCACGCGTGATATTGAGAGCGTATAAGCAACCGGTCCGCACTCGTGTTCATTTCAGTTACCATGGGGACGTAATTTGTGATAAGCCTTTCAAATTGTATCATTATTTATGTACGGCATAAATTTGAAATGACTTTTTACATTCATCTAGTGATGGCGGATTTTAATTCGAAAAATCGATTAACGAACCGAAAAGTACAATATTTGTAATCGGTTATATCCTGCTGATATAAGCATTAACTTCTCCAGAGGATGATCACCCATAATTCAAACATATGCTGCACTCTCATTGGTGGAAAAATGAAAAATAATCGATTAGTTGTTAATGGGGACATCTCTGATTTTGGTGTGATTGTTTTGATAAAAAAGCGCGCAAAATTTCATCTCTACCGAGGGGGCAGCAAAACCACAAAATTACCTTGCATACGGGGGGTATTCATTGGATGAAAGGGACCGTGAAAGAGGACATTAAAATAAAAAGTTTTTCTTCCGACTGTTTCATCTTAGTATTCTTCTTTGGTATAAGAGCGGAAAAATATAATTTGATTGATGATTTTGTCAACATTGGTTATGTATAATTACACGAGTTCCTCTCAAAGAAGAGAAGCTTTGATAGATAATCTTTATTTGGTGTACTAAAATCAGAAAATACATTAAGATTGAAAAAAAACTTCGGTAGCCCTATCTACCCTAAAAATATATGAAGCCCGGAACCAAACACCCTGTATATTTTTTTTATTTTCTCCTTAATGATTTTCTGAAATTTTAGGGGGGGGGGGAGACAAAATTTAAACTTATGATTTGCTCTGGCCTTACTACTTATTCATGAAGAACTACTATTGAGGTGTGCCGCTGATTCGTCATACTCCACTTCGTTTCGGTCATTCGGTAGCTCCGTAGAATTTAACTTGTTTATGTAATTCGGTGTATTAAAAAATAAAGGGAGCCTTTTTTCGATCTGTGAGGACAAGTTGTGGCGTGTATTTCCTATAACTACTTTTCAATTAGTTTATCTTTATTGACCTTTATCGTTCTGCGCATCTACATCTTCATACCAAAACTTGCTATTGTCTTCAGTGGGATCTAATTGTTCCACGTGTTGGCAGACATCGCACGTAGATGGCAATGCTGGATCCTTGGTTCGTTCATTTTGCAGTATTGCAGTGTAGACCTTACTAGGGACAGGTTCTTTGAACGATTCTGTGCACGCATTGATGTACGCTATGTACATGCTTGTTACATCTAGGAAGCAAGAAAGATACTTTGTCTTACTAACCACCTGACAGAAATGGGATGTAATCCTCGGGAAACTGCAAATGTGTTCTTTCGCAAAACGAATAGCACCATTACTCATTTTTTCTGGCTGCTTTGAGTTGGTTTCATTTTGTCGCGAGGTTCCAGGCATACACATTTGTCCATTGTTTTCATCAATGAGCAGTTGTTCCGGCAGAGAATTGGAATGATCGTCTTTCTGTCCATAGTCATAGTCTCCTACAATCATTTCGGTGGACTTTTCGGATTCGGAGTCGTTTTCAATCTTGATGTCCAAGGGTGAGTGATGCTCTGTTTTGATTTCTATTGGATTGTCCTTAATTTTTACATTGCCGTCAACCTGACTTGACCCAGGTTCGCAAAATATGAGTTCCCGGAGTTCATTTTCATTGATATTGAACGTGTTGAGGAACATAATGTTGCAAACCTTAATGTGACCGGATTTGCTCGGAAGATAGTAGAAACATGTGGGAGATTGTGTCGATTGCTCATCCTGTAATGAAATGAAAATTAATATAAAATATACGTTGGAATTTCAGGACAAACAATTACCACACTGTGAACCGGTGTCTCCTTTTTAACATGGCTTGTCAGAAAGTGAAACCGATTTTCAACGGACAATTCAGCGTATCGATCGAGAATCATTTGACGAATTTTGTCCGGAAATTTAATGTGGCACTTTCTATGGCAAGCACAGGCGATAGGCGGTAGGATTTTGGGAGCGGGAAAAGTATTGCCATGGCTTTCTAATTTTGTTCCCAGTTTTTCTCCCGCAACATTACTGCCAAAATGATGGAAGTATTCAAGGAGAAAGTTTTCATCCAACTCTGCCACGGTGGATGTATCACTATGGAAGCGATTCACTTCATTCATACTACAACCCAGAATAGAGAGAAGTGGTTCAACTGCTGATTCGGACACTTCTGAAAAGTAGTTTTCGTATTCTGAATATTCTTCTGTTAAATGTTCGGTTTTGGTTTGGTTTGATGCATTATCTAGAAAACGAAAACAATGAAAAGTTGAGGATGAACAATGGCTTACACTAAGAAGGCATACATTTCAGTCATAACATTTAAAATCACGAGCATTATTGTGACAGCTATCGTTAAATATATGTTCAAATACAGGCCTATTCTGCGCGGTGGGTGAGTGAAGGTGACTCTCTGTCACTATAGTGACAAAAGTCACCTCATTAGTGACATGAGAATCCTTAAAAGTGATAGAGAGCCACCTCATCGTAGAATTGGCCTGAATAACACCAACGTGCCTGACGTTATGCCACCTACCATTTCTTCAGTTTTCTACGAATTTGCTAATCTAATAGCGAATTTGTTTATTATCCAGGTTGGAACCAGTTTCAACCAGTGTGAACCCGAGCTTATTGTCAGTGCGAACCTCAGCCCGAGACAGGTTACAAAAACAAACGTTGACACTGTCGTTCGACAGACAACAAGCAGACCTAAACTTGATACCCAATCAAGGTTGGAACTGAATCAAAAACAAATTCGCTATATGATGCAACAACTTTCCAACGATCAGCAGTTGGGTTTTATTGTTACATGTGTTAAGATTAAGCATATTTTTTGTTTCAATTTTAAAATATCTAAGAATGTTTTTATTTCAAAATTGAATGAAATTTTCTAGTCAACTTTTACACATATAAACACTAAAATCATTTTCTGATCGATTGAATAAAATCCGTTCGGAATTGACTAAATGGTAGCAATTTCAACCATTTAGGTCGAAAAACGTCAGGCTCGTAGGTGTTAACTTTATAACTTTCTTCATGGTTGGAGCAAAGAAGTTACCTATTCCTTCCGTTCGAAGATTATGATCTTCGCTTAGATCATCACAAGGACTACCGTATCTGACATTTGTTGACACGTGTTGAGCATTTTGGTCGTCTTCGTCGGATGCATGCTCCGCAAACTGTTTCCTTTGGACCAAGTGTCGTAGCTTTTTCTCGGTAACTTTAAAGGTGCTCATGAACATCACCCTACAAATTTTGACATGCCCTGATTTGGCCGGTAGATAATAGAACCAGCTTTTCTGACGCCTTGAATATGCGTTCTTCTGGAAAGATAACGTGGTTTTTTCTCTCGTTAAATTCGCTTTATTTTTTAAAAAATCGGATATCATACTTTTCTCCTATGTGGATTGTCCAGTCTAATGTGTCGGAACAGGAAACGTTTTTGGTTTAGAGTGGATAGTTTTGTAAATCGAGTATAAATTTCCCGACGTACATCGTCTGGATATAGGGCATAACATTTTCTGGGACATGAACACGGTGGCAGGATTGCACCGGACGTATCGTGTTTGATCCAAATTTTCCTGGGTTTACCGATTGCTGGTTCTGGTTTTTCCGAGTTGGTCTCATACCGAATAAAATATTCGGTTAGGAAATTGTCATCCAAGTCTACTACTGGCTGTAGTTGTTTAGAACATGTTACTGCAACACCAACAACGTTGTCAATATCGTTGGAAGGCAGTTTGTCGTCTTCATCGCAGCTTTCTGTCGAATCATCGGTTACATTTGAATATTGATTAGTTGAACACGACTCTGGATCTATTTCGATCATTGAATTTAGTTGGGCTAGAAGAATTGTTTTTTTTTTTTGTTATTAAATCACACACAAACAAACGCGCGCACGTACGTACCTGTTTTATCAGCATCATTGCATGAAATATCATTAGAAACTTCTCCCATAAAATTCTCATCGATGTCGATTAAGAAATCGTCCGGATCCAGTTTGATGCAAGTATGATCTTCATTGGTAGTTTCTTCCGATGGATCGGAAAATTTTCCACTAAAAACTATTGTTCTAAGTTTTTTGTCAGTAACTTTGAATGTGTTCATGAACATCACTTTGCACACTTTTACGTAGCCTTTCTTCGTTGGAACAAAGTAAAACATACTAAAATTACGCCTGGATTGGTATTTATTATTCCGCTGCAAGTATAATAAGATAGTTTAATGGGAAATCTATGAAATATGATTAGTTTAAAACTGTACCCGTTTATGCTCTTTCCTTATGTGTCGGTACAAGAAACGTTTTTTATTCAAGGGAGATAGTCTGGCATATCGGGTAAACATCTTTTGGCGTAGATCATCCGTAAACCAGGAAGAACAGTTGAACGTGACACAAGTGCATGGTTCAGAGGGTCTTTCATCAGCTTCGTTAAAGGACCAACACTTCCTCATCGACTTGTCTTTGTTTTTAGTTGGCTCTTCCTGACCAAAGTTGGTTTCATAACGATAAAAATACTGATCTAGGAAAACATCGTCACTTTCTTCTTCCAGTTGTGACATGCCTTCAAATATGCAATTGCCCTGTTCAGTATTTTCCATTGGTTCATTTAAAGCAGGGATATCTAACTCTTCATCCACAGCTGTAAAATAGAACAAGTTAAATTCGTTTTCTACTCTGTTCCCAAGCAATTGAACCTACCCATGCTATTGTTCTCATTTATTGCATCTTCGGACTCTGGTTTGAAACCTTCCTGAGAACGATTGATTTCCGTTTCATCACCTGTCTCTGCTTTCACTGCTTCATCGCTTCCTCCATAGAAATGCTGGCTTATCAAGGTTTCAAGCGGAACAGAGTTCTTTACATTATCGGTGCCGGAATCTGCAAAAAATAACTACTTAGTTAACTCTACTTGCTAAATACAAATATTCTTTTATTGGGTTTCTAAACAGCTGAAAAATACAGTGAATCTTCACACGTAATGAAACGAACAATATGCACACAGATAAATATTAACATATTGGTAATACATATGTTTTATTCGCCCACCTACCTGATATGATGTCAGCATCTTTTTGTGCAACATCGCAGGAAACCTTTTCCAAAAAAACAACGTCAGCGTTGACCACATCAGCCGGTTCCTCTTGGACGTACGTATTTTCTTCCTTCGTAGTAACGCCTTTCGGAGGCTCTGCATATTTTTCGCTACCGACAATGCTTCGTAGTTTCCTGTCAGTAACTTTGAATGTGTTCATGAACATTACTTTGCACACTTTTACGTGGCCTTTTTTCGTCGGTAGGAAATAGTACATACTGAAATTACGCCTGGATTGGTATTTGTTATTCCGCTGGAAGTAGATATGACAGATATATTATCAAAATTATTCTATGAACATATTTTGAAAATTCTAAATACCTGTTTGTTTTCTTTTCTTATGTGTCGGTATAGGAAACGTTTTTTGTTCAAAGCAGATAGTCTGGAATATCGGCTGAACATCTTTTGATGTAGATCTTTCGTAAACCAGGAAGAACATCCATACGTAACGCAAGAACAAGGTTGAAAAGTGTTATCTGTATCAGTTGGGACCAATTTATTCTTGCATTTGGCTTTGTTATTTGTTGGCTCTTCCAGACCAAAGTTAGTTTCATATCGATAAAAATACTGGTCTAGAAAATCATCGTCAAGTGCTACTTCCGTGCCTGGGATGGACACAACAGTACAATTATGCTGTGCAGCACTTTTTAATGCTTCTTCCAGAGCAGGGACTGATTCTTCATCAACAGCTGAAAAAAAGGACAACTAGAGTTATGTACAGTGCACAGTGGTCCAGAATGCAGATTTAGGTGGAAGGATATGTTTTGAGCCTGAAATTGAAACTTTAGACTAAATGTTTCTCATACAAAGTTGATGATGATGATGATGATGATGAACGTCGAAAACAGATGCAACTCTGTTGAATGTTCTCTACAGTCCGCAAATCGCACCGTATCCTCCATTATTTGTGCGACGTAGAGGCAGTCTGGAATATGCTCGTGGAGGACCAACGCGCCCTTGGTGTTTTCGAACGGAAGGTGTTGCGTACCATCTACGGTGGAGTGCAGATGGATGACGGAACGTGGAGGAGGCGAACGAACTACGAATTGCACCAGCTGCTGGGAGAACCATCCATCGTCCACATTGCAAAAATTCTGCGACTACGGTGGGCTGGGCACGTCGTAAGAATGCCGCACGACGACCCAGTGAAAATGGTTCTAGAAAGCGACCCAACAAGAACAAGAAGAAGAGGCGGGCAGCGGCCAAGGTGGATCAACCAAGTAGAAGGTGACCTGCGGACCCTTCGCAGACTACGAGGCTGACGAACTGTGGCCATGGATCGATTAGAGTGGAGCCGACTTCTTCGGACAGCAGAGGACAACAAGACCTTAGCCTGATTGGTAAGGTAAGTAAGAGGCAGTCTTAGCATAGAGGTAACTCTAAGACTACTGGGTCCCGAAGAAAATCATTATTATTTTTGGCTCACTCAGTACCAGAACAACGGTCCCAAGCAGTCCCAAGCTATTTCACTCACCCCTGCATGTTCTGCATGAATCCACACACCCCTGATGTTATCTGTCAAACTTTCATAGCGAATCAAAACAAACATAGTGTAGTAATAGAATTTCAACTAGAATAGGGTACGTTAATCGTTTGCTTGGGACCAATAGGCTACTAAAGTGGTGAGCCAATTTAAAATCGTTAGTTTCGTATTGATTGTTGGTCTTAGTATAAGGTTATTACGAAGCGGTCCGGGTTGAACATTCAGGTCAATTTACCTCAGGATAGCCTTGCAATCTGTCCTTCCTTGTAGGATATTGGCCACGGTTAGGGCTCTGTTTGTGTCTCTTCTAGTCCGGAGAAGTTCTAGGTCGATAAGTTGACAACGACTTTCGTAACTGGGTAATCGAAACGGATCATTCCAAGGCAATCTACGCAACGCAAAACGAAGAAAGCGATGTTGAACAGATTCAATTCTCTCAACACCGTTGTTGTAGTTTAAGCCAACAATAGAGAGATTTTAGACAATAGATATCAGTGAAGTATTTAGTTATCCTAAAAATGAACCCTAAAGTTCTTGACGCCTTATCAACAACATATGCAATGTGTTGCTTGAATGAAAGCTGCCAGTCCAAGATGTCGAGCCAAGCAGGTCATTGCTATATATTATCGGTTGTTGTTTTCGTGAAAACGTAATAGCGGAGCATATGGCTGGGTTCACTACCATTCTGTTTAACCTGCACCAACTAGCGAATACATTCAGCTGACGTTGAAGAAAGTGATAGTCAGCAATGGAGCGTATTCGTAGGAAGATTTTGAGGTCCAGATGCACGTCGTTGAAGTACAGTCTGGAAATTAACGGTCCCATGTGGTTTCCCTTAGGTATACCTGATGTTGCGAGGAAGCTAGCTGATCTGCAATCTCCTATGGCAACTTTTAGTTGTCGACCGGTAAGATATGATCGAAACCAACTCAGAAGATTACCGCATACACCGAGGCTGCCGAGTTTAGCAATCGCAATAGCATGGTTCAACTTGTCCAATGCTGCGGATAGGCCTGAATAAATAACGTCCGTTTGAACCCGATCCGACATGCTTTCGGTTATATACGATGTGAGACACAGCAGATTTGTGATTGTAGAGCGGCCGACAGTAAACCCATGTTGATCAGCACTCAAATACTGCTTGCAATGGGACAGCAACGGTTCCATAATCACTAGCTCGAATAGCTTCGAAACGGCACTTAACGATGTAATTCCTCGATAGTTATCCATAGCTCGTTTTCTTCCTTTTTTGTGGACGGGAAACATGTGCGCAAATTTCCAGCAAAATGGAAATATACTACTGGAGAGAGACATTCGGAACAGGAGAAGAAGCGGAATTAACAAGCTAGCAATATGTTTCTTCAAAAATACAGATGGAACTCCATCAGGTCCAGGATTGAAGGATGACTTGAGCAGAGTCGCGGCCTTAGAAATCATCTCAGCATTAACATCAATTGCAGCCAGCGTTTGATCATTTACTGGAACGTTCCTGGCAGCCAGGTTAATATGGTCGTCAGTTAGTATCTCATTAGTGAATACACTGGCAAACTTTTCGGAAAAAAAGAGGTGGCATATATCCTGAACGGTGGCAGCAACTTCTCCGTTGAATTCCATAGACGATGGGAGGCCGGATGCCATGCGTTGCTTCTTCACGTAGTTACAAAAGGATTTCGGGTGTAGCTTAAGTTTGCACTCGATGCCTCGTTAGAAACTTGAAAAGCATTCACGACTGACTCGCTGGTACGGCGAGCCTTCATCGCGGCGCAGTTTTAATGGCGGTTGACGCATAAGATCGCCGTAACTCAAGTGTGTTGGAGTTGTCAATGCGATTCGTTTCGACAGCTGAGCGATCTGCTGTCCTTGCTTAGACATTTCCTTCCTCAGCTCAGCGTGTGCGATATCCTGTTTCTCGAAGATAGAATTAATCGCACTACCAAACGACGAAACAGCAGTTTTGAACCGGGCACATTTCATCAGCTTCGCGCATTCGTTGCACATCCAAAACAAGTTCGGGCTAGTGTGGACAATGTTCAGAAAAGCCTTGTTCAACTTTGTGCCACCGCAGTCCAGGTGAATCATCCTGTCGCAAAAACGAAATGCAGGAGACGGATTCTTCATATCGCCTTTAACTGGTTTAGCGCATTGGTCACAGGCGGAAGTCATGCTGACTCAGTTTAACAGTACAAGATGACAGATAAGATAACTTTTTCACTGATTTCACAACACGGAATATGCTCCAAATAAACGATTATCGCAACGAACTGCACTTTCCACTAACAACCGGTAAAATTTTGCAAGTCTACAGAACGGGAAAAACGAAGAACGATAGCCCGCGTGATAAAAGAATCATCAAATTTAACAGCGCAAAATCACGACCTAATCGATGCACCCCTCGAAACATAGGCTAAACAAAAAAGTTAGATTTTTGATTTCAATGATAATAAGAACCACCCTAGAATTCATTGTCATAAAAATGAGGACATAACTATAAGGAACAACTTTTTAGAAGAGACTTTTAGTGAAGACAACAAATCAAGAAGACTGACAACTTTGCCAGAATCCAAGCGACAGATACAGTGGCGCTGCGCTTGAGTAAAGGTGGAAGCAACGCATAGAAAAATGAGCAAATACACAAACCCTTCTTCTGAGGATGTAATCTTTGCTATCAAATTCGTTCGTATGAGAAAATAGAATAGTTGTCGCCAGTCTTCTTGATTTGTTGTCTTCGCTTTTAGTCTAACGTTTCAATTTCAGACTCAAAACATATCCTTTCACCTAAATTTTCATTCTGGACCACTGTGCAGTGTACAGTCATCTAAAAAAACACACTATTTAACCTACCAATATTGCTGTCATTGCTTTCATCTTCAGACTCTGCTTTTAAAAGTTCATACGAATGTTCGATTTCAATTTCATCATCTGCCTCCTTTTTCGGAATATCATCACGAGTATCTACGATTAATATAAATTTCCAAAAAGTCTACGTCAGTGGATTTCAACCTTTTCCATTCCATACCCTCCCCCTACCAAAAAAGCTCGCTTTCACTCATCAAGGCTAGTTTGGTTGCATTCCCCCTTGGGGTAGAATTCTCCACTGGATGACAAACGTTGGTCGACGTCAAAAACTCTCTACGTAGTTTACTGCCGGTGGACGCATAACTATCCCATGCTCCCATATAACATGGTACAGTTATGTTTCCACCGGCAGTTTACAGCCCCAACATACCTTCTTCACACGCGGCGACATTCCTCCGTGGTAAACTTGGTTCCAAATCTACTGCTGCTTCTTCCGGGTTATCAACGCCAAGCACGTCTTGATTTTCCCGACGCTTCTTGGCTAGAAGCACGCGCATTTTCTTCTCGCTTAAGTCAAACGTGTTCAAGAACATTACTTTGCACACTTTGACAAGTCCTGATGTGGTCGGCAAGAAATGGTCCATCCAATTCTAAAAAAAAACCGCTGTTGAAAAAAAAAAGAGTTTTGACACAAAAGCATTCCAAAATACCTTTTTGTGCGTTGTATTCTTCAAATGCATGTGACTGTAAATTAAATTTTCCTGTCCCTCAACTGACAAGTTCAGCAGGTTGTTCAACAGCACCTGGCGTGCGTCGTTTGAAATTTTCCGGCAGCACATGAGCCTGCACGAGCATGCTGGTTTCAATTTTCTTGCTGGAGCTTCTGTTCCATCGCGCCGAATGTACCTGTAGCCCTTTGCTTTTCTATACTGCCTTTCAGCTAGCATTTTTTTGACTGTTTGTTTTCCTAGCTTTGATTGGAGTATCGAGTGATCTGTCCGAGATTGAAAGTCCACGTCGGTTTCGTACCGTAGAAAATACTCCTCCATGTCACCCAGGTCCCTCATTTGTGGAATTTCGATAAAATCGATGCTTGCATGAGATTCGTATGGTTCCGAATCTTCTTCAGGTTCTAAGGAAAACAAATAATGTTTGTCAATAAAAAGATGAAAACAAAAATAATGACTAGCTACTTACCCGCTTCCTCGTCATCACAGTTCGAAGCACTCGGAAGTGGTGTTACATCGTCGTTCGGTACATGTGTGGTTGACTTATTAGCGAGATAATCATAACTTCCAGTGTGGATCTTTTCGTTCAATATTCGAAGCTTTTTGTCAGTGATATCAAAAGTATTGGCAAACATCCGCATACACACTTGTATTCGCCCGGAATTTGATGGTAAGTGGTAGATGTGGACTGATTTTCTACGGCAATACTTGAAACTTGGACGTCGTACCGCAACAGTTGTTATGTGACTGGATAGAAACATAATTTGACCTTCAGCAGAAAGTCCCAGCAAGTTGCTCAAAAGTTTACTCCGTATGTCGTCCAAAAATTTCATATAGCAAAGTCTGCGGCAGATGCATGCCTCCTTGATTTGGCGTGCCGGTTGTTCAATACCATTTTGGCGTATAAAGCTCAACCCTCTTTCTTTGCAATGTTGCCTTAGGGCGTTGGAAGATTTAGCCGAACCATCATCAACAGGCATTAATGCTGTACAAATATTTCGTAAACAATAAGAATCGAGAATCTTAACCTATTCAACTTACAATTTCCATCATAGTAGGGATTGGGCTCAAATTTTCGAAAATATTCGTAGGCGTAAGCATCGTCGAGTTCTTCTACCAAAGAACCGTCCACATTTAGTTCGTCATCTAGAATAGGTTCAACTTCAACACTCAATTCACCGATATCGAGATCAGCATCATTATTGTTACACTGTTGGCTCATTTCTTGGCCAGCGTTTAGTATTTTTCGATTTTCCAAACACTAAAACCTTTTTCTTAAATAATCACGGATGAGCACAAAACGCACAAAAAACTTCTTATGTGTTCTGAAAAATAAACAAAAACATGTCAACTGCTGAACAGTCTTTGGGATGCACAAAATTGCATTTGACACCATAGTTTTCTTCCAAATTTGAAAGTTGTCTTGAATTGTGCTCTCTGACGTTTATAACACGTATACAATGAGGTTCAGAGAGAGGTAAAGCAGATCGTGAAATATAGTTGTATTAGTAAACCAAAAAATCAACGTAAACGCAAGTAGTGACGTCACTAATTGCTTGTATCGTACAGGGGTTTTACTCGCACAACTTAAACGATTGCTTCACCTCGGTAATCCAGCTCATTGACACGTATACACTTTGCATAATGCAATTTTCAAGTGAGAACTTTATCCATCCGCCATTTGGTACACTGCTAAAACAGCATAGATTTTATTCATGTGATTTCACACATAACTTTCATAAACGTACTATTACCTCTATGGTTATAACATGTTACAACGGTTGTCAAATAATTGCAACATAGAAACCACTATCAAGATAGCGCTATAACATGTTATAACTCTGTAGTAGTAGTACGTTCAGACTACAGAGTTATAACATGTTATAGCGCTATATCTTGATGGTGGTTTCTGTGTTGCAATTAGTTGACAACCGTTATAACATGTTATAACTCTCCAGTCTGGACAGCGTTTGAACGTACTATTATAACATGTTATAGCGCTTAAGAGATGAACTAGCCTCAGGCTAAAAATCTCTAAAATAAAGGGAAAAAAAAAAAAATGTTATAGCGCTATCTTGATGGTGCACTGAAACAAAAGTCATTGGCAAAAATACTATAGACCTTTTTGACGTTTAATCGTCTTTCTCTATCTAGCACACATGGATGAATGAACGGTTTGTTATCCCACTAATCTGTTTCCCTCTTGCTCGCACTTGTTCGATTTAAATGGTGTAGTAGTGTGCGCCGATTAAACGTCAAAAAGCTTTATATTGCTGGTTTAAAGTAATTACTCTCACCAATAGATTTTTGCAGAAAACAATATCATTTATTTTTACTATTATTTCTATCGAAATTACTATGCATTTTGAGCATGCATAGTAGTTTTGCCAGAATCATAGTAAATTTGTTAAAATTCATAGCCAACTATACTGCATTCATAGAAGATTTAACATGGTTATATGTATAATAAGTGTTTTCTGCAAAATACCCTAATAAAAATTGTATGGTTAATTTGCTTAACGACGTGTTCTGGGTATCATCCAAACCATTTGTAGAATAGTTCAATGATTTGGGTTATCGTTCGTTTATGGTTATTTTTTATTAGGGTAGTATTCCTGACTATGGTCCTTGTTTCAGTGTGGTTTCTGTGTTGCAATTATTTGACAACCATTATAACATTAGGCATAACATTTGATTTGGTTCGCGTTTAAAGGGCCTTAAAAGGTTTGTTTACAAATGCTTTTGTGCCGTTATCAAATGTTATGCCTGACATGTTATAACTCTCCAGTCTGGGCAGCGTTTAAATGATCAATCATTTAATTTACAACAGGTCTTTTCGTTCAGTGCAGTGCCGGTTTTTTCATTCATTTTTGACATCTAAAAAGTGTTCACCCACACCATCATTGTGTATTGATCATCAGCATCAGAACCAGCAAGGCTGGCTGAAAAAACCTGTGTTGGGCAGTTTTTACAGATCTGGCAGTGCTTTTTTCTTTATATTCTCGATTAAAACGTAAGTAAATATCGAATACCATTAGTTTGGTTACGGGATTGAGTCCGATTGGGTCTTTTGCAACCTTCAAGCGAATGGATTCTCTTTACTGAATTCACCCATCATAGTAATCTGAATCTGTCATGTTTTTCGTTTCCCCCCTCAAGAATCCAGTGAAATAATGGCCCGAGGACACCAGAAGATCCAGTCCCAGCAGAAGGCGCAGGAAAAGGCTGCTAAGATGAAGAAGCAACAAGGCCACGGATTGAGTGATCAAATGAAAGCCGCCCAGAAGGCGCTTGTGTTCTCATGCTCCGTGTGTAAATCGCAAATGCCCGATCCAAAGACCTACAAACAACACTTTGAAAACAAGCATCCCAAGTGTGAAATGCCAGCTGAATTAAAAGAAATTTAACCGGACCTCTTCGGGAATGGTCGATCCTACATTGCAGCACACGATGGAGGCGGAGAGAGATACTGAGACACATACAACACAACAAGGAACAGATGCTGAACCGACATAATTCCGCAGGATTTTTTATATTTTAATTATATATTACTTACGTTTGAAATGATTTGTATGTATGTAGGTACTTGTAAATAATTCCAACCGAATAGTGTAAAGACAATTCTGGTAGCGATCGGAGATTATCTTCCCACAATTCAAAATCGAGTATATACATTAATCGGTTGGAAGTTCTGAAGAAATTGCCGAATGAGTATTCAATAAATTTCTCAAATGTAGAGGACTTTATACATTTTAATTGTGCAACAACTTTGGAACTTAGGTTATATGGAAAGGCCTATTTTTATTTAATAACTCTTTCAATACTTACGCTATTTTTTGTAACACGAGCACTCGCGCGTTGTACAACCGATCAGCACTCGTGTTTATTTCAGTCCCCGTGGGGACGTAATTTGTGATTAGTCCCGGTCTCTTTCAAATATGGTTCTTTAATGTTGAAAAAAAAAAATAGGTTCAGATGGTGTATCTGAAAGTTTCTTTTTCTGAGCACAACGATATCTGATTTTTGAATCCATAGAATTTCATCTCCATTTTTAAATCAAGATTTAAATCAAATTAATAACTTCACTGTTTGACATTAAACCTCCCTAATACCAACAATCAATACGAAACTAACGATTTTAAATTGGCTCACTACTTGACTAGCCTATTGGTCCCAAGTAAACGATTAACGTACCCCATTCTAGTCGAAATTCTAGTACTACGCAATGTTTGTTTTGATTCGCTATGAAAGTTTGACAGATTAAATGAGGGGTTATTGGTTTTTCTTAGAAATACTCATGAGGGAGAGATCATGGTGGGTATATAAATGGTGATACAGCTTTGTCGCTATATAGGCGAGGAGGTCGCGGGGGGGGGGGGGGAAGTGTGGTTTTAGAGCAAATTGTAAACAAACTCGGTCGCTGTCCCATACAAAAATCCAACATGGCTGAATCATGAATTTGACACATTAGAACACCTATATGTAGTCACCTTGGGAGAGATGGGCGGAGAGAATGTTTTGAGCCAAATTAACTGTCATAATCTGAGCCAATCGAACATTCCAATGGATCATTTTAGATGGCTGAGTTTTGAACCCACCACAGTTTTCATTTGGCGCTACTGTATACGGACGAACCAATGTAAAATACTGTGGTAGCCACAGTACGGTGCTGTCAAAACCTCAGCATCTTCAATGATCCATTAGATGTTTTTTTCTTATTCTTTATAGAATAAATTTGAGAGTATTGCAATCGAACAGAAATTCAATCACCTTTATGTTTTGTGTGCTTCTCAAATTCAATTAGTTTTTGGAATCAAAAACAATATTCTAACTCTATTGATTAATTGATATTCGCCGGTTATCGAAAGGCACCAAGAAATGTGCAAAATATTGCGATGCAATCAATTATTATTTTGCACCTAAATCGAATCAAAAATACAAGTCATTTGAAATGCTAGCTTCTAGCAAGGGCTGCAAGATAATTTAGAAACAAATCCCTGCTGCCGAATTGTATTTCCCTGCGCTTTGGTCAGAGAGCGTATAGGGCGTCGTTGTGCCGGGTTGTGCCAATTTGGTCGTGACACTCTTCGAGTATGAGAGAGTGATTGCAGTTTGCTCAAAAGTGCCTGAGTAAAATGCAAGTATTTTCGATGATTACCCGTAGTTGTTACAGTGAAGATATACACCCACTTTCTCGTTTATGTCTGGACGTGTTTGCCATACAGAAACATTTTTATTTGATTTTGTGTGGTGGATAGGTTTCGGACGTGGCATATGGGTGATAATATTAAGTTTACGTTAGGATAACGTTGAAACATTGAGAAATGTATCGCTTCAGTTTAAGAAGCACTTCACTTCGCAACCGATGAACCATTCTGACGGCCCACATTGCCGTGCAGGCGCCGTGTGTTGGCAGGATCCAATATTGGACAGTTTGACGTTTATAAAGTACCATCAGTTAAAACTGTATTTTTGAACTTTATCTCTATACTTTCTTAGATGTTTCTTAGTAGATTATCATGTTGGTGTAAGCTGATTCAAAAAGTAAATGGTATTAAAATTGAGCTGTCCATAGTTGGGCGTTGTTGAACTTCTGGTACTTGCACAACATTTCATGTGAATACCAAAGTAACCATATAATCACAAAATAGCTTTACACAGAAAAAAAAGTTGTTGAATATTACATCCAAACTGCTGCAACCAGATCAATCCATCGGTTGTGTAATATAACGTTGTACGATGTACATCGATTTTGCGAACAAAATCACATCCATTGATGTAATATTGTATCTGCTTTTTGCTATTACATCATTATTTCATACATCAGCTTGAATTACATTGATCGATATTACATTTTTTTTTGCTGTGTAGGTGTGGGTGCAGAGTGGTACAATGTCACTGAGATATGGTTAGTTGGGTATTCAGATGAAACTATTACTTTAAAAAACTAATCCTGGTTGTATCTCTTTTTCGTTTTTTCGTTTGCATTTAACACTGTTTGATATTACTAACCGCACCGATCCTTCATTCCGGGTGGTGAGTGAACCTGAAGAAGAAGAAGAAGACCATAAACCCCTTCTCGGAACGAGTGTTTTGTTAGTGGACCTGGTCTGCGATTCAAGGTTGGACTCTGTGATGATAAGTATCACATAACAGGTTAAGTAGGCAGGCAACAGGCAACATCATCATCAGACTGTAAGTATTATTGATAATCATTATAACTAAATGAAACATAAATGCATATTCATCAGCACTCATTCTCTACCAATTCTGTTTTTCAATACCTTTTTCTCTCCTTTCTCTTATCCTTCATCTATGCATCTACGCTTCTAAGTTAAGGATCACCTAAACCCTCATTCAATATTCGGCTGATTTCAATCGAGTCACATAAGTCATTATCTAAGAGCCATCTCATCTTTATCTATCTGATTGCTGCATGGAAGGTGTATAATTGGTCACCAAAATTACACTGGCGACCAGGCTCAATGCCCCCTCCAGCATGACACAATAACAATAACAATCCCTGCTGCCGAATTGTATTTCGTTTTCTCCGCCTATCTCTCCCTCTGAGTATTTCTAGTATAGCGACTAGCGCCGGCGCCGGTGATGTAGTGGTAAGCGTGACTGCTTTCTAACACCCCAATGGGTCTGGGTTCAATCCCAGGCGAGGTCGGTGGTGGGATTTTTCTGAGGCATAAAAATCTCGGGTCACGTATTCCTTCGGAAGGAAAGTGAAGCCCGTTGGTCTCGGCCCATGTGTGTTGAATGGGTGCGATATTCTGGATGGCAATCGATGTCCGTCGGTGATTGGCACTAGATTGCGGAACAGAGACCGACGTTAAATAAAGGAAAAGGAAGTAGCGACTAGCAGTGATGCATATAGTCGCTATATTCATAGTCTGGCGGATAGAATCTCGGGAACCAATTGAGCAAATAGCGGAACCAATCGAGCAAATCATGACCAACAACAGAAAAGAGCACATCAGCTATTGTGAACAAAAATTCTGAAACCCTCGTGACTCAAGGCTCGCCTACGCAAACTACGGTAATTTGCGTTCGATTGGTGTTTTCTTGTCGAAATTATTATGACATTTTATAACTCTGAAGTCTTTATGCTTTTTTAATTTTCACTTAAATTTGACAGATGCATTTTTTTTAAATAACCCTGCTATTCTGACTTATTTCTGACAAACACCTTTTCGGAAATCGGACGATCAACAATAGAGGGATTTTCGAACATTTTAATTTATTTTCGAAGTGTAAAATTGAAGTGAAAATTCACCAAATGGAACGCTGCCTAAGTTTTGTATCCTTTATTGAACAAACTGTAGAGATGCAGAGTTAAAAATTTTTGCAACACATTACTCCAAACATTTATTTTTTTGTTTGTTTTATTTTTAGCTGTTTTGTTGCTGTTGCCGAAATAATTTAAACTATCATGGAGAACTGCTATCAACCACTGTAGATTGGTAATGTTAGTGGATAATGTTGTTATTCTATAAATAGTATTGATAATTTGTTTTTTGCTAATATCCTTTGTCAATCACTGCGGCAAAACAAACTGTAGAATTGTCTCTCAGCGTACAGTAAGAACATCTTAATTTACTTCGAAGACAACGACGGGTTCGCCGTGTTCTCGGATTGGGCTTTGTAGGTATATATGTATATATGAACAAGAATGATTAGCATTGTTGGCTGCTGTTTCCACGGACACAGTCGTCGCTCCGGCAGTTGCGTTATATATCCTTCAGATCAGCTGGCATCTCAGACTTGGGATGCTTGTTCTCGAAATGTTGCTTGTAGGTCTTGGGGTCAGGCATCTGGGACTGGAATGGCAGGGTGAAACACAATTTTGGTAAGATGCTTATTGAATATAATTATTGTGAATTTTGCACTAAAGCAGAATCCTGCGCTAACATTAATCCCTCCAAATTTTTTTAAATGCTAGATATCAATCAGTAAATATATATGCATTATAAAACTGATTCACGTACATTGTACCACATTGAAATAGTATTACTGATCATAGTTAAAATAGAACCAATCTTTACAGTCAGATCCTCAAGGGTGCAAAATGTGGGGCGATGCTGTGACACAGCACGCCTGCCCCGTTGCTGAGAAGCGTGCTTGATAAATATCCGAAGGAGGGAATGTTTCCTTCATTATTAAATTTTCAATCAAGGCAATACCCCATCCTTATTCGATATTCAAAGAGGGTATTTAAATTTATTTAAATCTTTATTAAATATGCAGGGCTGTTACAAGATTTTCTAAATTTGATCCGCGAAATCCGCGATTTCTCAAAAGAAATCCGCGACTTCAAATACTAATCCGCAACAACAAAAAACTGTTTTCTTTTCCTAAAAATAGAATTTGTATACTACTACATGGCATTTCAAGCTTATTGCTTATATAGTAGCATATTAGATTTTTGTCTGCTCTTAACATAGTGTTCTTTGAAGTACTTACTTACACATTTTAATTGAGACTGAGAGCTTTCTATGCCTGTACCTAAACCTAACCTATGCCCAAGGAAGTAGAGCAATTTTCCAAAAATTAATAGACCGGACGGGAATTGAACTCAGTCACCTCCACCAGCATGGATTTGTTAGTAGCTGCGCCTTTACCGACTGAACTAAAGGAGTATCATTTGTAACCTTTGATTTTTTTTAATAACATTGTATCATCTTCAGTTATTTATGTATAGTATTCTGAGTAATTAATGAACATAATAAAACACCCTTACATTATGAGATTCTATTGAATAATACTGGCCTAGATTTGATGAAACATAATTTAAAAAAAAATGCATTTTCATTTGAAATGCAAATTTTCTTGAAAATTAACCTTTGCGTCTCTGACGTATTTTGCTGTCCCAAATGTTGTAGTTAATTTGGCTCTAGTTTTCTCAATTTTTTACCGATTCAAACACCCCGCACATAATCGAGACATTACCAGAGTTTCATAAGTCACGTCGCGGTAGTGTATTTACACGGATATTCCTTGGGGTCTGTCCAATGCAGAGTTGGTAACGGTCAGTTTGGTCAGTGACGTTTGACGAAAACCAAAAATAAATCGTCGCTGTACAAAAACCATCATTTCCATTGGAAAATCAAAGTTGGCACTCGTGAAGAATAGAAGAACTATGAGAGTGATGATGGTTCCAAAATTTTCCACGGAGAGGTACACGAGTGCAATCTTAAAATGCTTTTATTTTGAAAATGGAGCATTGAATTTAAATCTGGTTGTTGCTACAGTTGTAGAAAAGCTGAAATCTATGCATACACCTAAAAATCTGAAAATAAATTAATTTTTCTATATTATATATCTACTGAGTAGTCCTTAAGTTTTCTACTAACGTAGTATTAACCAGATTTAAATAAAATGCTCAATTTGCAAAATAAAGGCATTTTAAGATTGAACTCGTATACCTCACCGTGTAAAATTTTGAAACCATCATCACTTTCATAGTTCATCTATTCTCCACGAGTGCCAACTTTGATTAATATTCGACACATCGTCTTAAAAGAGCCTCGTTTTAACATCCTTCAATTTCAATTTCTCCAATACGCCGTTTTTAATACAAAATTTGTATTTAATGTTAATATAAGCATTTCCACATTTTGTTAATATTGACACGACGCAATTTAGTATTGCAATCGTATAGTAAAATCCGTACATTTTTAGACATATTTCCCTCACCATTTTATCTGTATTGTGATGTGTCACTTACTAAATCTATGACGATAGCTTCGTGCTGGTTGTGCATATCGATGCCAACATTTCATTGGAGCGAAAAATGCTTTTGTAAACAATTACTTCAACCGCCGATTTCTCTCAAATAAAAGCTCAGTACTGCAAACTAACCATACCAGCTGGTAGAGGAAACCTCTACTTGATGGTTTTGTTAGTTTGCATGTGCGATCTTGAGAAATCGTCGACTAAAGCTTTTTTTTAATTTTTACAAAAGCAGTTTCGCCCTTGTGAAATGTTGATAAAGATATTGTGCGTTTCGCACCGCTTTAGACTCCTGTGCAAAAAATAAATGCACAGTAATATACTTGTACAGACCAAACAATTTTAAAATCAACTTATTTGAAGGCAGTAGTAGCTCTACAACGGTATTGGTAAGTTACACTAATGAATTCGAGCTAAAGAAAGCTTTAAGAAGTATAATATTTAAATTTTATAACCAGTGTGAATATATTACTGTGTACTTATTTTTAGCGCAGGAGTCTAACGGGGTGCAAAATCTGCAATATACCTAAAACACGTATTAGTGAAAGTGTGGGAATTACCTTGCACACAGCACAGGAAAAGACAAGCGCTTTTTGGGCGGCTTTCATCTGATCACTGAGCCCGTGGCCCTGCTGTTTCTTTATCTTGGCGGCCTTCTCTTGTGCCTTCTGCTGCGACTGAAGTTTCTGATGTCCACGGGCCATTTTTCTGCAAACAAATTAAGTCGAACACTTTAATGCTTTCGCTTTTCGCAGCACATGAGGCTGCAGATGTCTCTAGAAACTTGTGCTGTTCACAAACTGATAGCATTTAATGTTCCCATTTCACTCTCTAAATTTAATATGTAACTCTTTTTATCTGTCTAAAGGCCTATTTTGTTAGCTCAAAATGGAAACTATAGTATCTAATCACCACTTACTTAAATTATCACAAGTAGTAGAAGTTTAAAAGTAGTTTAGTTAAATGTTAAATGTGTCTTTATTATGTATAAGAGTAATGTGCTTGTGCATGCAAAAATTTCTATTTACGAATGTGAGAAAAATTTTGACATTGACTAGATGTTTGTTCCAATTTTTGCCGATAGGTAGCGCGTGAGGAGCGACTAGCAGTTAACATGTTTCCGGATGAAAACAGCAACACGCTTCTTTCTCATTTGGTGCCATGCACGCTATTTCAAAACTTCCCAAATTTGGGTAGAATCCACCCAGATCCGTCAAAACTGAACCTACCCAAAAATGGGTGAACTGTATGTATGAAATGTATGTGTTTGCTGAGTTATTACACTGGGACGCATTTCCATAGTTGATCATTCTGTAGACTATTTTTGAGACCATCGGACGTATTAGACGGAGCTTACAGATTCTACCGTTGTCCGAAACAGCACGCGGTCACCACACGTATGTGAAACAAAAATGCCAATAACACAGCAAAAAAAGTTGTTGAATATTACATCGAAACTGATGCAACCAGGTCAATCCATCGGTTGTGTAATATCACATTGTACGATGTACATCGATTTTGCGAACAAAATTACATCCATTGATGTAATATTGTATCTACTTTTTGCTATTACATCATTATTTCATACATCAGCTTGAATTACGTTGATCGATATTACATTTTTTTTGCTGTGAAAGAATCAATTTTCTTCGTACAATTACCGGAACTTGGTGGGGAGCACATCCGGAAGATCTGATCAGGTTGTATCGGACAACCATCTTATCGGTTCTAGAATACGGTAGCTTCTGCTTTCAATCCGCGGCAAAAACACACATCCTGAACAGGGTTACTTCCACTCACACTTGCTATAAAAAAATGTTTTTCGGAATTATGAAATCATGATTTAGTATAATGCTAATTAGTACTTGTAAGTTACAAGAGGAGGTCATGAAGTATATGTTTGACACATAAAATCTGTCAAAATTGCTTTCAGTGCGTCACATTCAGCGATTTTACGACTCGTGAGCGCTCACTCTGAGTGACCGCTCACGAATCATAAGATCGCTAATTGTGACGCTCTCAAAGCAAAATTGACAGGTTTTATGAGTCAAACACATACTTTACTACCTCTTCTTGTTACTTACAAGTACAACATAGCATTATTGCATCTAATGATTGCACAATTCCGAATAATATTTTTTTATAGCAAGTGAGTGGAAGCAACCCTGATCCTGAAGCTGCAACGGGTTCAATACCGTTGTCTCCGAATCGCGCTTGGCTGTATCAGGGTGTCCATTCAAATTCCATTTTTCAATTCCCGGTTTTTTCCCGGTTTAAAAAAAAACTTTACCTTAAACAAAAAAGGCGTTCTACGCTTAAGTATGATAAATAACCCTATAGAGATAATGATGAAATTTTGTCAGCAAATTTCCTCTACAATACACGCAAGGCTGTTAGTGGGTATTTTATAAAATAGTATTGACTACAATAACGAAAAAATGTGACCAAATAGTGACTTTCAGACAGTAAAAAAAGTGAACAATAGTGACATTTATTGATCGGAAAGATATTAAAGTCGTTATGTCGTTTAATGCGATCCACTTTAACAAATATTATAAATTCTCAAACCACCATGAGCATTTCACATGCTTTTTTTTTAAATAAAACAAATGGTTGAAGCATCTTATAAATTTGTTTTCGTAAAATCAGTATTAATTGGATAATCAATATGTTAATTTGTAACCTCCATTTCCTAACACAGCACTCATTTTTCTGCCACGATTTTTTGGAAACCAAACGTTGAATAAGATGAATTTAGAGTCAGATCGATTGTCAATTTTAAGACAAGCAATTTTAAAGATCTCACATATAGAAACTTCTGTAAAACTTCAAACATAGACACATTTTCATATCTCTAGAACGGAGACAAGTGTTCTGGATCGTATCAATAATTATCATTATTCTGGAACGACGAAAATTTTCTCGATAAATCTCGATCTTCAAAAAAGTTGTAAAATTCTGGTATACATTTTAGAGATATTGGAATTTTTTTTGTTCAATGCTGGTACTTAGTAATTCACGATTTTTAATTCAAACAAATTAAGAAAGCGTAGAATAATTTACGATATGTTATGTGTCCGAAAAAAAAAAATTAATGTTTCTAAAATATAGAAAAGATTACATGATTTTAAACATAGAATTTATCTTCGAAATTTGTCGATTCTGGACTTGTCGAAAATACAATTTGATGGGCTCGGAAAAGTACTTCTAAAAAAGAAGATTCTTCTACATGATTTTTCGATGTTTGCCTCGGAACACTGTAGCAAAAGAATTCAAGCAATGACACCATATGCATTCCAATGACACCATATGAAATTCTATAAATTTAGCTATCTTAGGAGAAACAACGATAAAATCACCGCTTGATCCTGGCGCGAACAGATTGCGAGTAAGATAAACGAATAATATGAAAGTTGTAAGCAAGAGAATATAATGATGTATGTGCTATAAAGTTGATTGATTCCAAGTAAAATTACAAGTAAAAGATTCTTCAAGACCAAATCATCAAAGTATGGCCTACAAGACTTATATAAAATCAAAATTGTTACTTGGGATGAGTATATATGATCTTTCTCGGTGCAATTTGGGTTTTCCCGCATTTTTCCTGGTTTTTTCCCGGTAAATACGAATTCCCGGTTTTTTCCCGGATTTCCCGGTTTTCCCGGTTGGATGGACACTCGCGGGTGTTCTCCAACTGACTTTCTTATCCGTTGTGAAGTAATGAACCCATTGGTAATAGAAAACTTTGAGAAGCTGCTCGACAGAAATCCTCAAACAAGATTCATGAGTCTCTATTACGAGTACATGACGCTGGAGATTGACCCTTCTTCATTCAATTCCTCTCGTGATTGCCTCCAAGACTTTTATAGTTCCTCTGTAAATTTTGATCTGACCATGTTGCAAGAAATCCGTAGAATACCAGATCACCATCGGTCGATGGTTGTTCCCTTAATTTTTGCAAACAAGTACCACCATGTTAGTAACAATAAGAGTTTTTTCACAGATGGGTCAACTATAAACGCTTCCACTGGATTTGGAGTATTCAACGAGTTTCATAGCGCCTCATATCAACTGCAAAAACCCTGTTCCGTATACCTGTTGCGGAACTAGCAGCCATATTCTACGCAGTAGAGCAAATTGCCTCACTACCATCTGATCACTATTTTATTTTTTACGGATAGCCTTAGCTCTTTGGAGGTTATTCGATCAATGAGTCCGATAAAGCACTTCTCGTATTTCCTGACTGAAATCCGAGCTAAATTGAGTACTTTATCTAACTGCTCCTATACCATCACCACAGGCAAACAGACATAACACTTAGAAGAAAATTCTTCAAAAATATCGTCAAGCATATTTTGCATGCGCACTAGCACCATCTATCATCCACATTCCCAAGCAATGTTTTGCAACCGGAGCATCCCTCGTTCATGCATTTTTTTCACTAGTTGCTTTTCCCTTGTTCTGTCAACGCGTCAGCTGTGTTGAATAAAAACAAAACAGATGTCAGTGATGTCGGTTCTACGAAATTTTCCGTAGATCTATACAATTGATTGAAGTCTGCAGAAGTACGGATCCGTAGGAAAAATTCACAGAAGCTAAGACTTTTTTTTAGGGATTTGTTTTGTTTGTTTATTGTGCTCTTTCTTTTGCTGGATACAAGTTTTTAAACAAGGTAATGCATCACTTATTAGAGCTCTTTCTAAATGTAGATGTTTCAATGTAATATGTATCAATCAATGAAATTCATGATGAATTATTGAACATCAATAACTGGTAAAAGTTGATAGAATATTGCAGTCATCAACATGATTTGTTTTCGAATTCTGTGTACATCGTACAATGTAATATTAGGAACGGAATGACTAATGTGCAGCAGTTTTGATGTAATATTCAACAACTTTTTATTATATTCGTCAGATGTGGTATGTGCAAGAGCTGACATCTATTAACTAGACGTGAAAAAGAACTGGCATCACTGATAAGTTCGAAATGTGGTGGCTTGCTCAATGCTTCAGTGGCGCCACCACAAATGCAAGCACATTCCCAACTAAAACATTATTTGCGATGAATGTGATTGTGAGTTTTATGTCTGTTTGTTTGTGCCATCACTTTAGTCTGGGTCCCATCTCATTGCTCTATTCCGGGTAAGCGGACTCGTTGGCTAAAGTGGGCGCTGTGGAAGAAGTTATTTTTGATCGACAAATCACCTTTGCGAATTTTTTCTCAATTACCCGTCAGCAAGTCCTCACCAACTGGCAACAAAAATGGAATGGGAGTGATCTGGGAAGATGGTTACATTATATTCTCCCACAGCTGTCGAACAAGCCGTGGTTCAAAGGATTGGACATGAGCCGTGACTTTTATACGTTTCATGTCGAGGCTGATGTCCAATCACTGCTCGTTAGACTCGCATTTCTTTCGAATCGGGCTCACAGGCAGCAATTTGTGCGCTTGCCTCCGCTCTCATCATATTTTATAAATATTGGAAAAAATCAATTCCAATACATCTGCTGGAGCAATCAATGTCACAAAATTTACTGCTGTCCAAATTATTGGTAAGTAACAAATCGTTTGTAATTTTGCTGATCAATGTTAATGTTTGCATTAGCAAAGTCTTTTAATTTAAACAAGCATATAATCTGCTCTTAATGTTCTTAGTGGGTCTTGATAAGACAAATTTTATTGCAATAGCACAACACGTCAAAAAAGATTATATAAAAAATCGGGAAGCTCTCTCCTTGGTTTCGGCTGTAACATTTGTCACTTCATAATTGGTCATATTTATGCCCCTTATACTTTCCATCTTGTAGTACATATATTGTGATATATAACCTTTCATGGTTCCCATGTGGCCTCTTTTTTCTTACGCTGCTTTCCAAAACCAACACTAGCTGGTTTTGTGTCCGTCGTCGATCTCTCCCGAACATTCTCATATGGGAGTATTCTCCATGTAGACCTAACAACACTAGTGCTGTTTTTAGCTTCACTACTCTTAGATACTCTGTATGCGTTGTCCGCTTGGAAATTATTGTCTAAACTATT